ATAAGGAGTTAAATTATAATTTCGACTTCGTTGCCTAAATTGTAGATCTCATCTTGTCCATAATTTTTGTCGAGCATGCGATACGTTTTGTCGCGAAAGCGAGACATCAGCGATCCTAGATTCCGTCGGCGGCAACGGCATCGTCAACATTTTATAGGTTCAGTCTGTGATTGAAGTTATTTTTATACATCAATAACTTTGACATTTTTACCTATTATAAAATTGAGAATGGAAATGGGGAATATGTCAGAGACAACAACCCGACCAAAGAGCAGACAACAGCGAAGGCCACCAATGGGTCTTCAACACAGCGAGAAAATCCCGCACCCGGAGGTGGTCCTCATCTGGCCCCTAAATAAAATTTGTGTAGTAGTTTAGTGAAAATGGACGTCACACTAAACTCCAAAACATATAAATGAACTAAAATTAAAAAACATACAAGACTAACAAAGGCCAGAGGCTCCTGACTTGGGACAGGCGCAAAAATGCGGCGGGGTTAAACATGTTTTGTGAGATCTCAACCCTCCCCCTATACCTCTAGCCAATGTAGAATAAAGAAAGACATAGCAATACGCACAGTAAAAATTCAGTTTAAAAGAAGTCCGAGCCCGATGTCAGAATAGGTAACAAAAGAAACTAAGCAAAATGACAATGATACATAAATGAACAAAGGACTACTAGCAGTTACTGACATGCCAGCTCCTGTATGTTTTGCTCACACATTGTTGTCAATATAATGGAATTTAGGCTATGCGACTGTCATACAAGTGAGAGGTTTAGCTAGCTATAAAACCAGGTTTAATCCACCATTTTCTACATAAGGAAATGTCTGTACCAAATAAAGGCAACAGTAGTATACCGGTGTTCAAAAGTCATTAATCGATTGAGAGAAAACAAATCCGAGTTATAAACTAAAACAGAGGGAAACACATCAACTATAAGAGGAAAACAAAGAAACAACAGGAACACTGAGGTGCAACAAAAACGAACGCCAACATACATAGAAACGAACTATTTGATAACAACTGCCATGTTCCTGACTTGGTACAGGACATTTTAAGAAAAAATGGTGAATTGAACCTGGTTTTATGGCTAGCCAAACCCTCCCGCTTACATGGCAATGTTAAAAAAATATATATCGCTAAAATGACAACACTACGTGACAGAAATACAGCACACTCATCACAGAGAAACGCACAAACAAATAATATAATAGTCGACACAACATGCAAACCGCAGAACATCAGCGAGCATCTTCGATCAACGACAGATACCACAGGACATCACAAACAGTGACGCACTTACGTAACGAACATGCAAACAATTATTTTCACAATACCAGTCCAAACAATTTTCATGACAATGACGGTATTGAAAGGCTATTTTATAATTATTTGGACTACAAACGATAAGACATAACACATTATCCAACCGAAACCATAACAGAAACATAAAAAAAAAATACATGAATGTTGGATGCACAAAATACCGAGACACGTATAGCAATGCAAATTCACACTCGGTATAACAGTCATATTCAGGAATAGGTCACGTTCGGTACTTAGCAGTCAGACGACATAGATGTTAAACCACAATCTAAGAAGAGGTAAAAACCGTGATGGTGTCCATAAAATTTACGGAGTGTCATTTTTAATCTTTTCTCCAAGCCAGGAATATGACCGTTGTTTTTCATTCGTTTGATGAGTTTGAGCTTTTGATTTTGCCATTTTATAAAGGACTATCCGTTTTGGAATTTCCCTTGAAGTTCGGTATTTTTGTTGTTCTACTTTCTTCTTTTTTTGTCAAACCATCATGGATTTTTTATGAAATTTGGACAGAAGCTTGTTTATGACCAAAAGCATCCAGAGCAAAATTTAAAAAATATATATTTTTCATTTTCCGTATTTTATTGATAAAAGGACTTATTTTTTTTACAATCATCATTCAGATTCAGTCTAAGGTTTAAGTTTTTCAGTCATCAATAACTGTCAAACCTCCATAGAATTTTTAAGATGAAATTAGAACAAAAGCTTTTTTGTGACCAAAATTTATTGATAGATGGACTTTGTAGTTTTTGTCTCGGCGACGGCGAAAACTATTTGATTCCTATTTGTATAAAGCTTTATATTTCGGAAGGTAGAAGACCTGAATGCTTCATACCTTGTATGCAGATACCTAATGTTACGAAGTTTCCGTCTGTCATATGTCCATTGTCCTTGGCCATCATTTTCAGGGTTCAGGAAATGCTTGAAATAGGACAACAAATAGGATAACTATATTTGATATAGGAGTTCCTTGAAAGGTCTACATGTCTGTTAGACAGGGTTAACCTGTCCTTGACCTCATTCCAAGTATCAGTGATCAAGATTACTGGGGTAAGTTTTCGTGGTAAAGTCCGTATCTCAGATGCAATAAGCAATAGGTCAACTTTACTATATTTGATGTATGAAATGATTGAAAGGTGTTCATGTCCGACTGGTAGGTTTCATTTGACCTTGACCTTATTTTCATGGTTCATTGGACAATTAGTTTTTGTGGTTTGGTCTATTTCTCAGATACTTTAAGCAATAGGGCCACTATATTTTGTGTATGTAATAATTGTAAGGTGTACATGTCGGACCTGCAGGTTTCAGCTGACCTTGACCTCATTTTCATAGTTCATTGGTCACAATGAGAAGTTTTCATGTTTTTTTTAGTTTATCAGATACTATACGCAACAGGTCAACTATATTTGGTGTGTGGAATGATTGATAGGTGTACATAGATATAAGAAGATGTGGTATGAGTGCCAATGAGACAACTCTCCATCCAAGTCAAAATTTATAAAAGTGAACCATTATAGGTCAAAGTACGGTCTTCAACACGGAGCCTTGGCTCACACCGAACAGCAAGCTATAAACATGTCTGTCTGGCATGGTTCACCTGGCCGTGACTCATTTTCATTGATCGTTGATCATGTTAATTTTATATAATACTTGTAGTAAAACCTTTATATTACAGACTTTTAACATAAATTCAAACATAAGTAATACCATTTCATTGATCATTGGACAATGTTTAGTTTTTGTGGTTTGTTCTATTTCTCAGATAATATAAGTAATATAACCACTATATTTAGTGTATGGAATGATTGAAAGGTGTTCATGTCCGACTGGTAGGTTTCATCTGATCTTGACCTTATTTTCAAGGTTCGTTTGACAATGATTAGTTTTTGTGTCTTGGTCTATTTCTCAGATACTTAAGCAATATGGCCACTATATTTTGTGAGTGGAATAATTGTAAGGTGTACATGTCTATCTGGCATGGTACATTTAAACTTGGCCTCATTTTCATGGTTTAGTGGTCATTTGAACTTTTACTGGTTTTGTCAACTATATTTGGTGGATGGAATAATAATAAGGTGTACATGTCTGTCTGGCATGGTTCATCTGACCTTGACCTCATTTTCATAGTTCATTGGTCAATGATAAGTTTTCGTGGTTTTGTGAGTTTTACCAGATACTAAATATATTTGGTGTGTGGAAATATTGTAAGGTGTACATGTCTGTTTGGCATGGTTCACCTAGCTGACAATGACTTATTTTCATGGATCATTGATCATGTTATTTTCATGTGATACTTGTAGTAAAACCTTTATATAACAAACTTTCAACATAAATTCAGTCATATTATAAAGTAAAGCAGGTAAGACAGTTCAGTGTGTGCACTCTTGTTTGTATATTAAGGATTTGTATATTAATAATTTAGCTATGATTGGATTAAAAACACAGGGACTAGAGGCAATCTTTAATTTTGATCTGACAATTTTCAAAAATATTCTTCTATGAAACAAGGCCAAATAATTATTACAAGATTGCAATAACTCTCATAATGAGTTGTCTGAAATTTTTTGACAAAATGGACAGTAGATAGATCACGACATTCTAATAATTTCTGCGGGTGGTATCATTAGACAGATTTCTATTAGCTAGATATCTAATTGATGATTGTGGTCAAAATTGGTTCCAATTGGCCCAGTAATTTCAGAGGAGAAGAATTTTGTTAACAGACAACAGACGCCAAGTGAAGGCAAAAGCTCAACATGCTTTGGGCTAGGTGTGCTAATGAAATTTATTTTGTCTGAACTTCATGTGGTAGTGTGCTAGGGTTCTGCAAGCAGAAGATTCATTCTAAGAATCTGATATCTTGCTTAGGGCTATCTACAGACTGTTTGTGCCTGCAGGATAAATGTCTGATCTGATTTTAGGAATTTCTTTTTCCTTGCACTCTGCACATAAAGCATAGAGCAACAATTCTTTTTAAGGTGTTATTTTTGATATGTTGCAAGGCGTAAATAGAATTAAACTCAAGATTCAATATATTTTATCAGTTACTCCCTGGAGACAGCTTGATATAAATTAACTGGCATAAATTCTCCTGTAAATTGTGCACCTACTATTTTAATATTTGATTTGATTGACTTTGGGATTTCCCATACCAAAACAAACCAATTATTAACAAACAAACATAATCTACCGTTTCTGTGTTAATATAAAGATTGAATACTGTAGTGTAAATTTAGAAATTATTGTGAGGTTTTTATTATTGCAAATAATACAACTGGGTGAATATAGTAATAATAAGCACTTGCATTCAGATATCTACTATCATAGATGGGGCATAAAAATGTACTGAAATGTTCCTGGGCTGTATAACTGAGGAATTAAATTGTGCGTCACAATATGTCAATGTGGTACAAAAGCCAAAATATGGTAAAAGTCCCATAACTCTCATAAATATGGTCAAATCAAAATAATGTATAATGTGGTTAACTACACATCCTACCAAGTATGAGAGCTTTCTGTTGAATGGTCTCAGAGGAGTTGCATTCATAAAGTGACACTATAAGAATAGTCAAAGACCCATTACTCTGGTAAACATGGTCCAATAAAACTGATGGTATAAAATGCTTTTATCAGTTTAATTATTATTCTCATACTTCACAATAAAGACATTTAAAAGCAAGTGGTTTATTTTTTATTATACTGCAAATAAAATGTCCACCATTTACCTATATACACATTTAAAATTCTCTAAATAAACAGTTCATCTTCATCACTTCATCAAATTCCGTATCCTCTAACAAACCTGTTCAGTTTTCTCACAGTATATGTTTATACTGAACAGGGGCTGAGTTTCCTGTTTTAAAATCCCTTATTTACTCTGAAAAAAATAAGATTTTTCTCTGTGATTATGTGATATAAGTTTTAAAGATATTCAAAAGACATTTTTGTGCATTGAAATGTCAGACTACCAACAAAAATTGATTTGTTAATATATATGTAAATAAGATAAAGGGACCTAAAGAGATTTTTACCATCTGACATAATTTTTTTGACATTGAGTGCTGTTTTGAAATTTTAACTTTTAGATTAAATATGGGATTTTGCATCACTTTTCTGACAAAATTCTTCTTGTTATTTCTTTAGGTGAGAGCAACCTCATATTGGAGGTTATTATGCCACTTATTGTCATAGCATACAAGTATATTTGAGTACATGAAACAACATGTATTGGAGTTCAGCTGGTGCCTCACCAATACATTTTTTCCCATATATATTAAAGCTTACTCCCCCTAAGTCACTACAAAACTAATATTATTACTCATGTATATTATTTAACTTGTCTTTTTTTTGTAAAGAATAAAGAAATAACTAATATAAAACATATTTTTGAAATGCCATTTCACCAGAAAATAAAAAATCCTTTTATTTTGTTTTGCCAAAACAATTTCTGTGAATTCTGTTACTCCTTGGAAATATTAACATGCCATGTATATATAAACCTTTCAGTGTGCACAATACATTTCAGGTTTGGTACCTCATAGTTTTTCAGGATTAAAAAGCACAAAAAAAAATGTTCAACAGTACATAAAATTTCCCTCTTCAGGTGGGATAGTTTGCCATGTTCCTAACTAGAAGAAAATCCATGGTATGGCAACAGATATATATAACTTTAACAGTTTTAAAATTACAAGGGTCTAAAAGAGCCATACATTTTTTGTAACTGACACTTTTATTCAATGGACAGAAATAAATTGCTGGTACTGAGTATAGCATATACCAGTAATGGTTGTCAAATTTTAGTCAGGAGAAAAATTTGATTAAAATCAGCCGGTCAATGCAAATATAATGAACATTGAATACTGTATTCAAAGTCTTAGGGATAGAGTACCTTTTAAAAAGAGTACAATACCATTTGAGCCTAAGGCCGCAATTTAAATAAAATGCTCCGCTGGGCGCAGCTTGATACGACCGCAGAGGTCGAACCCTGAACAGTTGGGGCAAGTATGGACACAACATTCAAGCTTGATACAGCTCTGAATTTGGATTGTGATTAAATATTTGACACAGCATAGGTTTCTGACACAGAATGAATGTGGTCTAAGAACTTAATTTTTTTTAATTTACCTATTATGGTCCAATATCCAAAATCTAAATACATGGTTAGATTCAGCATATCAAAGAATCCAAAGAATTCAATTTTTGATGAAATCAAACAAAGTTTAATTTTGGACCCTTTTGACCTCAATGTGGACCAATTTGATAACGGGGCCCAAAAATCAAAATACATGGTTAGATTCAGCATATCAAAGAACCCCATATATTCAATTTTTGTTGAAATCAAACAAAGTTAAATTTTGGACCCCAACTTGTACCAACTTGAAAACTGGACCCATAATCAAAAATCTAAACACATGTTTAGATTCAGCATATCAAAGAACCCCAAGAATTCAATTTTTGTTAAAATCAAACTAAGTTTAATTTTAGACCCTTTGGACCTTAATGTAGACCAATTTAAAAAACAGGACCCAAAACTAAAAATCAAAATACACGGTTAGATTTGGCATATCAAAGAACCCCAATAATTCAATTTTTGATGAAATAAAACAAAGTTTAATTTTGGACCCTTTTGACCTCAATATGAACCAATTTGATAGTGGGGCCCACAAATAAAAAATCTAAATACATGGTTAGATTCAGCATATCAAAGAACCCCATATATTCAATTTTTGTTGAAATCAAACAAAGTTTAATTTTGATCCCCAATTTGGACCAATTTGAAAACTGGGCCTAAAATCAAAAATCTAAATACATGTTTAGATTTAGCATATCAAAGAACCCCATCTATTCAATTTTTGTTAAAATCAAACTAAGTTTAATTTTGGACCCTTTGGACCTCAATGTGGACCAATTTGATAACGGGGCCCAAAAATTCAAAATTCATGGTTAGATTCAGCATATCAAAGAACCCCATATATTCAATTTTTGTTGAATTCAAACAAAGTTTAATTTTGGACCCCAATTTGGACCAACCTGAAAACTTGGCCCATAATCAAAAATCTGAACACATGTTTAGATTCAGCATATCAAAGAACCCAAGAATTCAATTTTTGTTAAAATCAAACTAAGTTTAATTTTGGACCCTTTGGACCTTAATGTAGACCAATTTAAAAAACGAGACCCAAAATTAAAAATTTAAATAACGGTTAGATTTGGCATATCAAAGAACCCCAATAATTCAATTTTTGATGAAATAAAACAAAGTTTAATTTTGGACCTTTTTGACCTCAATATGAACCAATTTGATAGCGGGGCCCACAAATAAAAAATCTAAATACATGGTTAGATTCAGCATATCAAAGAACCCCATATATTCAATTTTTGTTGAAATCAAACAAAGTTTAATTTTGGACCCCCATTTGGACCAACTTGAAAACTGGGCCCGAAATAAAAAATCTAAATACATGTTTAGATTCAGCATATCAAAGAACCCCATATATTCAATTTTTGTTAAAATCAAACTAAGTTTAATTTTGGACCCTTTGGACCTTAATGTAGACCAATTTGAAAACTGGACCCAAAATTAAAAATCTAAATACACGGTTAGATTTGGCATATCAAAGAACCCCAATAATTCAATTTTTTATGAAATAAAACAAAGTTTAATTTTGCAACCATAATTACTCATTTAAATTTACCATAGTGCTTACTTAATTTATTTTATAATAGAATTTAAAATATGGTGTCAAATCTTTCATATGGATTTTTTTGTAAAAAAAAAAAAGATGCAACATTTGCAGATATTTTTACTGGTCTTCCTTTATAAATATGCATTTCTTTAAACATAATTTAAAAGCAGTGTAAGGGAAGTATTCAAAGCGTTGTATGTGGATTACCTCCTTTACACTGTTTTAAATTGTCTTAATTGTTCATTAACAATTACTTTATACATAGTTTAAAAGCAGTGTAAGGGAGGTAATTCAAATGATGTATTTGATTTATCTCCCTTACACTGCTTTAAATTATGTTTTGTACTAAAGTATTTGTCCATATAAAAATGCTTGTTTTTTGCCCCTTTTATGGCCCCTAATTCCTAAAATTTTGAGGCAATTACCCCCAAAATCAATCCCAGCATTCCCTTTGTGATATGGAACCTTGTGGTACAATGTCAGAGAGATCCATACACTAACACACAAGTTATGTCTGGAAGTTACAAAAATGCTTATTTTTGGCCCCTTTTTGGCCCCTAATTCCTTAACTGTTGGTACCATAACCCCCAAAATCAATCCCAACCTTCCTTTTGTGGTATTGAACCTTATATTAAAATTTCATAGAGATCCATTCACTTAAACTAAAGTTAGAGTGCGAAAACCAGTGTGTCTTCGGACGACGACGATGCCAACGTCATACCAATATACGATTGCAAAAATTTTTTTGCGGTCATATAAAAATCTTTTTTCCCCACACCCGACCCGATTTTTTGCCGGTAGGTCGGTAGGTAGGTTTTTTTTTTGGGAAAATGTATTGTCAGACATATAGAAACCTAGCTGTAGGACTGTAGCTCTTAGGTACCAACGAAATTTCTTTATCTTCGAGTACCATAGGGAAATAGAGCTACGGATTTCCTTTGTTTATACTTTCAGTATGCGACAAAGGTTCAGGTCGCAGTTATTTGCAAGAATTTCATTATTTTCCATCTTTACATAGCTCGTACCTATCTATGTTTGAATATTCATATCCTTGACACATCCTTTTTGAATTAAAGTATACCGGTATTTAATGATAATTACTAATGGAAATACTATTATAAAGTATACTTCACAGTAATTTTGTGTTTATAAGTGTTCCGAAGAAATAAAATCACACGATTCTTCTATCCAGTTTATCGTAAACAAACCAACACGTGTTATCTTTTCATGGAACTTTAATGACATCACGATGAAATTCAATATGGCTGAACGAACTAGGCAGAAAAATAAACAAACAGAAATAATTAGATGATTGAGTCCAGATTATGAATATTCAAACATAGATAGGTACAATTGCAGGCCAATACACATTAAGTGAGATGTCAAATCCGGATAGCTATTTCCGGAAATCAGAGATCAGACGAAAAAAACATTTTGTTTTAGAAAAGACCCAAAAATATTTTGAGTCAGCAACCTTTTTTCCAGTCGGTCGGGGTGTGGGGAACCTAGTTTTAATTTTGGCCTAATACTGTATATTAAAGAATCCTCAGTTGGTATTGATTTATATTTGTTCAACAATTCAGCATAGATAGTTCCAGTCACATATGTATAATGTTACACTCAGCATAGCTCTGTATTTGATAATACTTCCATTAAAACTAAGGGAATCACATGAACTCAAAGTGGAACAAGAGCTGGTGCAACAACAGGGTAAGCGTCACTCTCCTGCTTTGCATGAATCATTTGCCATGTAAATGTAAAACTAGTACACTCTTGTCATCTTTATTTTATCAAATAATATGGCTTAATTCAAATTTCAAAAATATTATTGGCATAATACGGTGTGTTCTCCAAAACTATTCAATCTCCTTCAGATAAGGTCATGAAATATAAATTTTGAGAGTGGATGAAGATTGTTATGTTCTCTTTGAAAATTATTATAAAAGCAGTGCAATAATTGTTCAAGAGGATAATAATACATAATGTATTAATAAGTAATATGTTAACTTACGATCCATGCTTTCTTCGGCTGACTGATAGTCCATTGATGCTGGAAAATAAAAAGTGTTTCAAAAAGACTTAACGTGTTTCAGATTTCTTTAGTAGTTCTTTGCCATCAAATTGTTTTTCTATGGATGTCAGAATTTAATATATGTATAGTTTTACATCACAATTAAGGTAATGAACATTGGACTTTTGTGTATGTGGGGGAGTGTGGTTCCTGTATGGTGTTGAAAATGTAGTTTGTTTTTGATGAAGTTTTGATAAACAATTGTTTGTTGCATAGAGAACAAATCTGATGCTCCTCATAAAAGATAAATTTTTGGTGCCTAAATGATGCATTAAATACAAAACTAAAAGAGATAATTTTTAAGCTTGAAGAGTTTACTAAAAGTTTTAGAATGAACATTGAGTAAGACCAATAATTTCCAGAGAGATGTTGTTCTATAAAAATGTTCAACACTTTAGCCTTACGTCATGTTAATGTGAGCAAATAGCATATCCATGTTGTTTTTTAAAATGTTACTATCATGACAATTCTGGAATGCTACAGTAAATTGATCATTCTGTTTGTTGAATAAGTGCAAGTGTACTTACATGGTTCACCCATCATCTCATTATACTGTCTAACCTAAAACAAGAAACAAGACTTAAAAAATATGAACAATATAATAATCAATTATTTACAACCTTGCAAGTTCAATTAATATTCTATCAAAAATGATAATTTGATATTCAACAATATCTTGCAATAACTCCTTTAAATATTGTATGTTAACACTTTTCCAAAGACTCTTTATCATATTTAACTTTTTGCAGCGATAGTGTATGAGTATATTGTGGTGATTTCTGCAAGGAATATTATATGTCTATGCACTGTGCAGTAAGTTATAATATTCACTAGAAATGTCAAAAGTTTGTACTCAAGAACTTTATGTCAACCAAAGGGATACTCAAGTGTTCATTTTGAATAAATAAATACACGAAAAATGGATGCATTTAAGGAATGACTGTAATATTTTTTCTGTCTATGAAGAAATAACATCAAAAATGTGGTGCTCACTGTGCACCACATTTTTTATGTTATTTCGAATAGACAGAAAAAATATTACAGTCATTTCTTATAATTTAATCTAAATTCCATTTTAAACCTGAGTAAACCATGAAAAAACGTTGATGACGTCACGGTCACATGACAAAATTATGTCTATGAACTGATAAACAAAACAACGTCAGCCAATCAGAAGACACCTTACATCCAAAATTAAATTATTATATTATGAACACTGTAAAAGCAAATACATCAAGAACTTTATAATAGTCAAACATTTTTATGAGTTTTTTTATCAAAACATCATATATCAACACATAGCTGATAGTGTTATTATAGTACATGTATAGCTATTGCACTAATATTTAAGATTGAATATTTGCCACTGGATGTTAAGCAACCAAAAAATCCTCTTCAATTTTTAAGATTATCATAAAGAGTTGAATATTTTATTTAAATTAAACAAGTTGAATTAATTAACTTACTGATTCTTCATGCTGTCGTCTCGCCTGATTGACCAGGGCTTCTCTCTGTAAAAGTCTATCCTTTATTTCCTGTAAGTCTTCTTTTGTAGCTTCTATCTCAATCTTTACATGACCCTCTTCTTTTCCCATTGTTATCTTACTTCCTTGTTTTTCTTTCAGAAGTCGCCTTATATGGATTCCCTTCTTTCCTATGAAATTCCCTACATCTTCTGGCCTTAAAGATTTTAAGTGCATATCTAATTTCTCCAATGGTACAGCAGGAGTCATGGGCTCTTCTTTAACACCTTCTTTGGCCTCCTCTTTTTTAGGAGGTTCTGGGGGTGGATTTAATAAGGACGTATCTTTATCTTTATCAAACTTGTAGAAAACATATAGAAACCTATTAGCACTGTTAAGTCTACTTGAAAATTGTCCACGTTCCTTCAAAACATGTAATATATTTTTTAGATGTCCATATTCATCTTTTGTTTTGTCAAAGTTTGTTTCAATATAATTGTCAAAATATTTATAACATTCATCTGCTACTTCATCAGTTATTAGTTCTGCCCACCTTGTATCTAAAATTGATCAATAATAAAATAAACTGCAGTTAAATCTGTCTAAACTGACAATATGCAAGATGGAAACCTCTGTAAGTTAACCAATCTTTTTTACAAAAACTCTGCCTAATCAGAACAAATTCATCAGTCTCGCAGAGGGGTTGAGTTTAAGTTTAAGTTTAACTGTATGTAAAAGGTGTGGTAGTCTGAGATTAATCTGCTGTGTGATGGCTGGTAAGGGGTCAATGAGATACAAAATGTAACATACAGCTTTTTATACTGAACACGGAAAGTGTCAACCTAGGCTTTGAGCAGCATTTTACCGTTTCTTAATTGTAAACATTGTATTCTAAAGAACATAAAACAATTTCATTCCAAAAACATATTTTTCAACAAAAATCAAATATGTGAAGACTGTTTTTAAAGAAATTTAAGGATTGCTGTACTTTAGTAATTTAATGAGATTGACATATTTCAGTGCCTATATCAAATATAAATGTTGTGAAATTTGTTAATGATGCCCTGCCAGGGAGAAAAAAAACTCTATTTTCACCATTAAATTTTCACTTTAAGCTGCTGAGTTGTTGTATTGTAGAACTTTCTAGACTACTTATATTCAAGTACACTACCAAAAATGGTGTCAGATACAGGAGAAAACTATATGCATGTAAAAGACAGACTGTTGACCATTACAAGTCTTTTTATTTATTCCATAAATTTTGTGTCCTCGTTCTTGCTGGTCCTACCATCATCTACAGATGCATTTCATGTTTGAGAAAGTTATAAACTTTGCTTGATCTTGATGTGCATGACTCAGACATGGGGTCAATTACTTTTGAAAGTAATTAATTACATTCAATTACAATTACAAAATCTTCAATTGAAGTACACATTACATTTGACTTTTTTTGACAATGTAATTAATTACTTTCCAATTACTTGGCAAATGTAATTAATTACTTCAATTACTTTTGAAAGGAAAATTTATAACATGCATTTATTCTATCATATGTACATAATTATCATACATTGCTTTATAGTAATAACAAATGAGATCTACAGTGACTATTTTCAAATTCAGCCAGTATCAAAGAAGAGTAAAAATTCAATATCTGGTGTGTTATGGGAATAAAGAAAAAACAAACATAAATCTGAAGTGCACATAATACTTTTTCTATCAGGAATCGTTAGGACTAGATGTCTGGTTTGATTTAATGCGCAAAATGATAAAAAGCCTTATTCAATATTTGCAAAATATTAAATTTTGTTTAATTACCTATTGAAATTTTATGTTTTAATGTATTTCATTGAAAATGATACAAGAAGAGAGCCCTATAGATAAAATTTTATTTTTTTAATTTGATCACAACTTATTAAAATTATTTTTCCTAAAGAAATGATTTAGAAAGTCTGGCTTTTTAAAAAATATAATGTAGTTTTAATCACAATTAATTAACTTTTAAAAAATCATGTACCTAGGGGTATATTTATCCCTCTCTAATTGGCTTAACACCTGTTTAACATGCAAACATAACTGTTGTAAAAACACTCATTATATAGTTTATGATAAAACAAATAGCCAGAGGTCATATTTATTGATTGACTTATGACCTTTCAAATTGATTATGTTAAATCAATGTCTAACAATATCCATCTGAATATACATGTAGGTAACAAGCTTATTAAGGTATAAGACGGTGACTTACTAATGGTTTCTTTTAAATACAAATTATGGCATGTTTCTACAATATTTTTTTTCTTTTTAATTTTTTGTTCATTTATTACAAAAAAAAAGAATCTTCCATGGTTGTGTAGAAGGTATACTGTGTAGGCTTTGATTTGTCAGCTAACTACATTTGCTAAGGTCATGGCTTTTCATAATTTTTTGAGAAAACACAAGATTCAATCTTTCTGATCCCAAATTTCAAATGTAATTGAGTTGTAATTGAAAAGTAATTGTCAATTACAGACAATTTTGGCTTTGTAATTCATTACTTTCAATTACTTGTAATTGAAAAAATGCTCAATTACACATTACATTCAATTACTTGAGAAATTGTAATTAATTACAGCCAATTACAATTACATATGGCCTCCAAGTGCAATGAAATAATAAACTGTACAATTTTAAATTACTTAACCATGTGGACATGTTTTGGAAACTTTGATATAAATTATAAGAAAAATGTCCCCTAAATACTGAAATTCAGCTCGAAAAAGTTTGTACGCATTATGACCTGAGATTTCATTCTTCTATGCAGGTCATCACCTGCATTAATTTTCATTGTCATAGGTTGACAGGTATGACAGATTTATCGTTCATCTCAAAGGGGTTAAAGATGCCTAGGTGAGGAAAGGTTCTATATTAGGAACACTTGTTGTGGAATAAATACATATTGTAATTGTAAAGGAAAAAAAATGGCATATTTTGTAAGACTTCAACAATGTAATTTTATTTTACAATATACTGAGCCCTGTCTAATTTATTTGTAAGAGCGATTTTCTGGTATTGCCACCCACCAGAAAATCGCTCTGGACACAGATTTTCAAAATTTTTCATGTGCTCACTCTTTTCACGATTTCCCGAGGATTGCAAGAACAAATGAATATCTTAAAGACAAATTGATTTGTCCCGAAAACATGTGTTTACATGGTGTTATACTACTTTAAACAATACTAAAGATTATAATTTTAAGTTATTATTCGTTTTTACTCAATAAAAGTGCAATTTCACTTCAAGAAATCGATTAGTAGGTCTTGTATGCAAATTCCTTGTTGAAAACAATATGGCGGACAAAATTATTCAAAAGGTAGACAACTTAAAAAAAATAAAAGTATTAAAAGTACTGAAAGAATAGATTCTTTAAAAAACCTGAAATGATGAAAAGTTAATACAGTTATCATAACTTCTTTCGGGTATTTAAGCTTATCAAATTATTTCCTTTATTTTACATTCATATGATAAACTGATTGTTGTTATTTAATATTGTTAATGCAATTAATTATGAATCGTCAAAAGTTTAACTGAAAAAACATGTTTCCAAAATCTGAGTTATTATATTGTTTTCTTATGATATGTTTAAATGCTGTTATTACAATACAATTTTCTCGAAATATCTCCTTTTAATCTTAAGCTTGGTGTTGTTTCAATACAGAATACTAAATTTTCTCAAATTTTTTTCTTCAACAAAATATGGAAGACAATGGCTTGGTATTATTTTAGTAACATGGGCATATAAAAAGTAATTTACAATTTTGGTGCCTATTCTTTCCAAAATGTCAGAGGAAATGAAATATCCGTGTATAAAATGTACTGAAGATTGTGTCATTGACACAATTCAGTGCACTGGATGTGAGAAATGGGTCCATACCAAATGTGTACCCATGAGTGATTTATTATTAGAGAAATGGTCTGATGCTAATCTGTGTTTTCTATGTGAGAATTGTTGTTTCACCAGTAGAGAGTTCGATGGGGAGAAATCTTTGAAAAGGTAGGCAATTTTCTTGTATATAATTATAGATAATTACATTTAATGTTTCCTTTTTTTGTTATTGGTGTTGATTTGTACCCTTTTAGGCGTTTATATATATTATGTGTGTTTTCTGTTTATTTAATTTCATATTCAATATTTATTTTACCCGTAATATCACATTGGAAGGTAACATTATGCAATACCCGATTTAAACATAATATAAGTGTTGGAAGGAATCTGTGATGTATTTATTATGTCTTTATGACCTATCCTCTTAACAAAGATTAAAGACATACAAATCGATTTTCTGAAGATAACTTGTACTTTTATTGAGTATAAACCTCTAAAACGTCTTAAACCTTATAATTGTATGCTGTTACACTAATTTAAGCAGTATAACACCATGTAAAATCATGTTTTCGGGACAAATCAATTTGTCCTCGGGATATTAATTTGTTCTTGCAATCCTCAGGAAATCTTGGTACCCCTCACTCTTAAAATGTGGCAGAATAGTCAACCAGTTGACAAGGGCTGCTTACAGGAAGAAGAATACATGACTTTCCAACTAGTGCCTTTCATCAGAAAAATTTGATGTCACAAGGCAAATGTTTTTATGTAACAATGTCTTATGACGTTTTCCCAGAATGACCCTAGGTCAACCAGGAAAGTTGGAATCAAAATAATTTGGAAACTTGTCTATTCCAAGAATACTAATGTGAAATGAAAGTTGCATGCAAGGAGGAAGTGTTTTTGTCCCTGTTGTGCAGAAAGAAGAACACATGTACCTCATAATACAATATATTAATATTAACAAAAAACGTAACCTTTCGATTTTCTTGTACGTTTTTCTTGTACTTTTTCCGGCAAAAACCTGAAAATATCATCGTCTGGGCCGCATGTACAGACGGCCTCGCCTACTTTATAGAAATATTGCTTTGTGAATTTAGTCCTTAAGATGTTCATTAATTGCTGAAATCTTGCTCGCCATCTGGGACCGTGTTTCATGCACTGTGGTTCATTTAGATAATCTAATTCTGACATGTTATATTTTGGAACCCAGCAAAGATGAAAATATTGGAAATCCCCTATCCTATTAAAAGAACCAATTACGGTTCCCGTTCCGGTGGTCAACTCGAGATCGCTGCTTAAAAAACAAACTCGGCCTTTAACAAAACTCGGCCTACCATTATTTAAATATAAGAATAAAGTGAACAAACTCGGTATGATTCGTAGATTGTGTTTTCTGTTGTGGTTTTTTTACTGTTTTTTCAACATTGTTTTTGTGTTACGTAATTTTAACAACTTTTTGTACGAATTGTCGAGATAATTATAAAACTTTTCGAGAAATACATACAGAAGAAAAAATACTTGGATCCATAAGATATTGTTAAACATGTATTTATATTGAATATAGACTATTGAAATAAGAGAATTAAACATAAAGCTTTAAGTAGGGATAATGACTGCAGATGTCTTGAAAAGTTTTGTATGGATTCAGTCTCGTTTATACCAGAGACATATATACACATATGTCTCTGTTTATACTTTTATATTGGTGGTATGACATTTTTTCAGTAAACAGGTGTTTTTGGCGTGTGTATATACGTTTTTGTTTTGTTTAATTAATCCTTATTGTTCATCTTATGAAGACAAGAGAACTTTGCCATTGACAGAAAAATGGCTTGTTAAAAATTTCATTAAAGTTGTAATTGTATATATAATTCCTAATTTTGGGATTAATTATGATAAAGGGTAATTATATTTCAATGATCACATCAACCAGATGCATCGGAAAGCCTGAGTATTTTCTTTTCCAAGGAACCGAATTCATACATGACTGTGTATTGTCCCGCGAAAACTTTGCGCAGTGCTGGGCAACACAGCTATTCTTCTCAAAGCTATAATTTAAAACATGCAGCGTCCAATTTACAATTAAACTATAAACAGGCTGTGGCAGTGTGCTGACTACTTCCTTTCAGAGCCTGCTTACAGAACAGCTCTGAATCCCTCTATTGTATCGACCGAGGTGACTTAAGAATTAGATGGGAATCGATTCCAATCCCTGATGGTCTTTGGGAAGAATGACTGTCCATAGGTGTAAGTTTTTGTTCTTTCTTAATAAAGGCGGCCTATACCTCTGGTCCGGCTGTCGTTGGGGATTATATATTGTTGTCTGTCTATATCTATTAGTCCATGGTTGCTTGATCTTTAATAGCATACATAGTCTGTTGGTTTGTTTATGCTGAGGTAAGCCGAGGCAACATTTATTACGCTGGTATATAGTTTGGAGAATTACCAGCACGACAGAAAAGATCAGTGGCTCACGTACGCAACGTCAACAGTATGTACAGGCCGTACAGTTGCCTATAATTGCTTACATTAACTTCATTTGAACTTTGGTGGATACGTAGTTTTCTTATTGGCAATCATACCACGACTCCTTATTTTTTTATAATGTAGCAGTTGAAGGTGAAACATCTGGAAACACCTTTGTGAAATCAAGAGTACCACAAGAGACAGTTTTAGGCCCATTGATGTTCCTTTTGTACATAATAATATTGGAGTTGAAAGTCAAAGTGGCGCCTTTTTGCACACGATTACTTTTAATAATTGGCAATAAATTGTACTGTAATCAGTTACAAAAAGATCTGTACCAAATTGGTTGACTGGGCATCTAAATGGCAGGTGAAATTTAATGTTATGTGTTTAATAAGAATTTCCAACCATATATATAAAGCCTATAATGCGTAAATACCATATATGCATGGCCAAATTTTGAAAATTTATGCCATTCTTTCTCAAATGGACACAATTCTGTGATCTTCACCTAATTAGCTCAAGTTTATATGGCATATGTCAGATAGACACAAACTCCTTATATAAATTATTCTTACCAAGTTTTGTTGACCTGCAATGCATAGATATTTTACCAATGGAACATGAATATACCGGTAAGGTAAAAACCATAACCGACTTAAACAGGTCTCATCATTAGCAACCTCATTGTTAATGTTGGTAAACTAAGCTGATCCCTGATGTAAAAGATAATGTATTCACTATTCAGATATTTTCACTTATTAATGCTGTCATCATCAAAAGTTCTGTGATTTTGATTATAGCTAGATATCACAAAAGTACCAAATTAAGAAACAGCAGGTAAAAGAGAGGAATTGCTGGTACTTCATATTCTTCTATTTTCCTTTTCGCCACATGAGACCTTTTGAACGTATTTGACAGATGCTGCATGAAGAAAAGATTTACATTTCCACAAGGGATTCATTGATGAAATTAGCCCTTATAAAGTTCAACCAAAGTTGAAAAACTGGATCTTCCTTCACTGTACTGAATACCAAAATTACAAAATAGCGTTATATTGCTTTGTCTACTAAATCTTTCTAGGGATTCATTGATGAAATTAGCCCTTATAAAGTTCAACCAAAGTTGAAAAACTGGATCTTCCTTCACTGTACTGAATACCAAAATTACAAAATAGCGTTATATTGCTTTGTCTACTAAATCTTTCTAAATTATTAATATCTGTTTCCTCAGCAATCAAAACCGGGCTTCCGAGTTACTGTGAAACTACATACTCAAGGGCGGTGTGAATCAGATGTGGAAACTTAAAAATTCCAACGATTTGTTAGATTACATGTAAGTCTCTATTTCCTCTTGCAATAGTGTGATAACATGTGACATCTCTACTCTTTACATTTTTCTAGTCTGGCGTACACAATACTTAGCCTTGTATCTATGATGAGTTTATTCTAAACATACAAAACAGATTGAAAGAAAAAAGTCCAACTTTGTTTCATAAAACTGAATGGCGAATTGATATGAATATACACATATCTTGATTTAGAAAGGGATAAACCACACTTAAAAAAGCTGCTCTTGTTCAAACAAAATATTTTCGGAAACTAACATCTTCAATGTGTTCGACTTTTTTATTGGCAACATATTTGTTATCTTTTGGAGGACGTGTTTTCAACAGACAACTGACATTCATATGGGAACCAACTGTGTTCCTGTTCTTCTAAATTTGTTTCTTTATTCATATACGACAGATCTCATACAGGAGCTTCTAAAGAGGAATGAAAGAATGTAATGTAGCATCATCCTTTAACTTCACGTTCAACTAGTATGGTGACACTATATAGATGATGTCCTCTCACATAATTGAACGTTTGGTGACTATGTTGAACGCATCTATTCTATCAAACTTGAAATAAATGATGCAATAGATACAGTCAATTCTGCCTCATATCTTGACTTACACCTAGAAATTGACAATGAGGGTCAATTGAGAACGAATCTTTTGATTTTAGCTTCCCAATTGTGAACCTTCCATTTCTATGTAGCAACATTCCAGAAGCGTCTGCTTATGAAGTATATATCTTCCAGTTGAAACTATATTACAGAGCTTGCATTTCCTATCATGATTTCCCTGAAAGAGGGCTGCTGCTCACAGGGAAGCTATTAAATCAAGAGTTTCAAGTGGTGTAGTTGAAATCACCCCTTCGAAAATTTTATAGTCGCCATGACCGTTATGGAATATGTTTTTCACAGATGAAAACAGAAATGTTCCAATTATCTTAAACACAATCCCACCCTCTTTACCTCGAATGTGACCTACCAAATTACACTTATCACTGGGTTTGTACTTGAATGAGCTACACGAAAGGTCCCACATGTGGAGCAGGATCTGCTTACCCTTCCGGAGCACCTGATTTTTGGTGGGATTTATTGCTCAGTCTTGTGTTTTGTATACAGTTGTTTGTCTTTTGGTTGTTTTTTTAATTTTTGCAATGGCTTTGCCAGCTTGTTTTCGACTTACGAGTTTGAATGTTCCTTTTGTATCCTTGCCTCTCTTTTCCATTTCTATTTAACAAAATTCAAGCAGCGACTGCATATGGAGTATATGTCTCCCAGTTGCTACTATATTCCTGAGTTTGCATTGCTTATGATGATCACCTTGATCAAGGGTTACTGCTTACAAGGAAGCTATTGAACCAAGGGTTCCAAGTGGTGAAGTTGAAGTCATTGTTTTGAAAGCTTTATGGATGTCATCATTAGCTGGTTGACCGTTATGGAATATATGTTATAGATGACCCCCATATGTTGAAACTGTTGTAGCCACAATCTTGTCCTCTATTTTGATTGTGAAATTGTATAGAAAATTTAAAAGTGGAAAGGGGGCGTAACCCATGGATTTGTCAACAGACCCGGTAGATGATTGAAATAAAATCTAAAAAGGTAAAGGTATTTGACCCAATGATGCAAACGATGATGACGATGATGATGATGGCTGTTTAACATCCAGTGGCCAATTAAATACATATTCATGAGATGAAGATTTAATGCTATATGAAATTGAACCCCGAGTTGTACTAGACGGACGGTCTGAGTTTTTACATGCTAAAACACCTTGTGACAGTCAGCAGGAAGATATGTCACCCTACCCTGACATATTATTCTAACTCAGAGCTGACCAGTCATTGCCCTTACTCCTTTATGCTGCCTGCTTAGCTGAGAAGCTGCAATTACCAATTTTCAAGTCTTAGGTTTGACCCGTCCTGGGATTGAACCCATGACCTGCCACACTGGAGGCAGGCATACTACCATAAGAGATGATGAGACCACCAAGACAACTATTTTATAATGGAAAAGATATGATAAAACAATTAAATTACAAAAATATTTTATTTTACATTGCCACACAAATTATTTATATAAACATATACAAATATATGACACATATACTTTCTACCTTTTCATTTTCAGTTTTACACTCAACTATGTGTGTCAATTAAATCAAAACTTGAATAAACAAAATGTTTCCATTTTTAGTTGGTAAAGACTTGCAAAGGACCTTCTATACATTTAAAAGGTTCCAGACCTAAGAAAACACATTATAAAGGTCTCACACCTAAGGCATACAGATTTTTTTAAATGTGTTAGTTCAAGAATTTTTATATTCAATGCTTCAGTGGATTCCAATGAAAGATTCAGAATTATGAAAGAATCTAAGACAGATGTTCTGCTTAATAAAACAAAAACAAAAAACAAGATGAAATCAGTAGAGTAAATTATTAATAAAACTAGAACAGATCTCATCTTCAAATAGCACCAAGGAAATTGCAGTAGAAAGAAAAGTAAAGTGTGTAATGAATGATCTGATTGGACAGGCCTTTCTCCTTCTGTTCATTATCTAATTAATACTGTAATTTCATCTGTAATTTAATGAAATATAGGTAATGTACAATCATAAAATTTGTCGTATAACTCTATAGTAGGAACAAATAATTGTTTAAAGACTCCATTCCCAAAACATGTAAAAGAAACATGAACCAATTAATTTTTTAAACTGCTAAAAACAAATACATCAGAATAAACAAAGCCAACAAATGACCCACCCCTTTCCAACCCAAACCAAGTCAACAGGGTCTATATATAAATTGTGTAATTTTTATTTAATTGATTTTGCCTGGATGATGACCTGCATACTTAAATGAAGTTCATATACTTAGATGATTATATATCTTTTAAACATATCTACAAATCTTTGGATCAAAAAATATTACATAAAGGATTCTTTCGCTTATTATTCCTGAGTCAGAACTCAGGATGTTGACACAGACATAAAAGCTGAGGGTACTGTATTCTAAGGTTATATCAACTTAAAACCAAAATATGGGCCAATTCGCCTTTTCAGAATCTAAAGGACTATGGGTAATCTCATTGTTTGTACAGCAAAATGAAAATAACGTTACATCATTGGTTCAATTACCACTGTTCAGAATATTTTAAACCAATCACAACGTTTTGGTGTATGCTTTTGAAAATAATACCCAAAATGCATTAGATTCTGAAACGGCCAATTGATTGATTGATTGACTGATTGGTGTTTAACGCCATTTTCAACACTACTGTGATATTTCTCGGCTCTCAGTTTTTATTGGTGGAGGAAAACTGAGTGCCCGGAGAGAACCACTGATTTTCGGTAGGAAAACTGAAAATCCTAGTCAATTGGATTGGATTGGAGTCGAGTGCACCTGCCCTGTGTGGGATCCGCCAATTGAAAAGACATAACTACATTCAGAACATAATAAAAAAAAACACAATTGGTGAAAGAAATTGTGTGCACAACAAATTCTAAATCATTTGATCTACAATCTATGACCAAGGTTTTGACTTTAACAACACTGGTCTGTGAATATACATTTTATAGCATACCCCTACCAGGTTATGCATTTCATCACAATATATATATATTCAGATATAAATAAATGTGTCTGTGTAGTTTTAATATATTAACTATTATATTATTCTAGATAAAACTTTGAATAAAATACAGGGCGGAATCAAATTGGCAAGAATATAAAACATAATCATTTCTACAGAAATAATATTAAATACAATAAATCTAACTAAACAAAGTAAATACTTTAAATATTGCAAAAATAAAAATCTAATAAATAATAATAATTCTCCATTGCCACATTAGAACTCTTTTTGTTTATGGTAAAAACACATTGCTTTCTGCATAACAATTATTTTTAAAACAAACTGTCTTGATAACTTGTCAAAAATATAAGGTAACTTTAAAAAAAGGCATTTGTAAACTAGAAATGTGGATATTTGATTGTTATGTTACTTAACAATACTACCAGTAATTGTTTGCCTACAAGAAATCCTGTTAAAGTTTCAAAAGAATTTGTCAGCTAAAATGTCAGTTATTGATCAGAAACCAACACTCCAAATACAGACAATGAAGAACGAGTCACACCATAGGGAGGACACAATTATTTCATGGTCACATTCAGATGCATTAAATTCACACAACTGTAGAATTGTGACTTTAATTATTATAAAAATCGAAAACCTAATTTTAGTTTCTTTTCCCTACTCAGTACCACTTAATATATATGGAAAGTTGGTTTTAATATTAAAGTCTGAACAGATACATAGGTCAATGATGCTATCAAAAATGTCTACAAAGTGTAAGAAGTGAAACAATACTAACAATAATTCTATATGCTACTGTGTGTACTCACAATTGCCTACTAATGATTCTACTTATTGAAATGCTTAAAACTCTTGAACACAACTCTAAAATGCATTTGAATCATTAAAAAACAAAAAAATAACATTTGTGTTTGGTATAACAGATATATTTAGATTTGGAGGTATTCCCTACCAGCTGATTAGGACTTAATTGTATGATCTTAAATCAAATTTCTAAGACGGGTCTTCATCAAATCATAATCAATGTTTCATATGAATACAGTGCATTTTGTAGAAACATCAAGGCAAACCATCAAAATGTGTTTCATTTCTTTACATTTTGTGTGTCAGTGTAGGAACAACTAATGTGTAACAAAATTCAAAAAATTTCACAGCAGCTTTATCACAATAATGCTTGGAATATTTAAATCACTTCTATGATATGCTATGTTTCTCTACCATCATAAAGAGTTGCACATCCTAGCATTTGATCTGATCTAGAGAGCCCTGGATTATGTCCCTGATCCCTACTGACACTCGGAAGATAACTACTCTCGTTACGACTGGATAGTAAGTTCATTGATTTTTTTAATTGGTTATAACTCCAGTTGAGTTGCTGAACTTCATTGTTATGTCTCTGTTTAGTGTCGTTTAATTCCTTTAAAAGATGATCATTAGTCGTGACAAGTGATCTAAAAGAAAAAGGTAAACAAACATGATGAATATGACCTACAAACCTACAAAATTTCTTCCTCTGCTAAATTTTGTTTTTGATAATCACTTATTGAAACTCAAATGAAAAGTGATAATCATTTTCCAAATATTAAGAGCAATGTCTCAATATCTACAAATGTTTAAAACCGTAATACTGGATTTCAAGTTTATTGTGATCCACACACAAAAACAAAAATTTCATATTTGTTGAAATTTTTTTCATTTATGAAGAAATTCTAAAAGTTAAGTAAACTATGGATGGCAACCAAGAGTTAGTTGTCTCTCAGTCACACATGCCTTTTTCACTCTATCCCCCAAGCAAGTAAGGGTGATAAATAAAATCACAAAAAGATTTTAAGTCAAATTGAACATTAATTAACAGCATAAACCTAATAATGTAATTTTTCATATCGCAAAGGAGTATGACTTGAACAATTAGTACTAAATATGTAAAAATCAAACTGTATTTCATGTTACCTCAAACAAATCTTAACCTACCCCTAACCCTAGTATAGGGTCCTTAAAGTATATGAAGGCCACTTGATTTAATGTTGGGAAACCATTTGATGATGGAAAGACAGATGCATGAACATGATAATCCTTATAGATCTCTGACACTGTTGATAGTAGGTCCATAAAATGTAATCTATACATCATGACCTCCATTAATAAATTCATGATATGATCTATATTTTGAAACTGATGTTTTTGTACAATAATCAGTATCTCAAAAGATTAAAATTTTTCAGTTAATCTAGAACCATTTTCCTTTTCAAACTTCCAAAAAATCAGAGAAGCTGTATTTTCTAATTACCTGAATAGAAAATATGATATTCCTTCAAAACAAAAGGATCTTGAATTTTTATATCCTCTAAGCTTGAAAATTTAATTAACATATATTTATCTTTTGTATTAATCTTAACTTACTTGTGACTATCCTGTAGCATGGATGCAAGGTCCTGTAACTGACCATGTTGTTTTAATCTGATTTGTAAAAGTTGGATTTCATTCTTCAATACATCATTCTGTCTTTGTAATTCATCTAAAATATAATATATCATAAAAAGGTATGAAATTCAAAAAAAATATTCTGATATGACGCTCTTCTTTTGTTTTGTGAACAAAGCCATGTTCTAATTCCAACAAAACATGGGGTACATGTGAGTAACTTCACAATAAAACTTGTAATGTAAGTCATATTTTGAACAATGCCTGTGTTAAAAACAAACATTTCTGTGGGCTCATCTTGCTAGGAAATTGAAGGAAAACATTTAAAAAGTAAGTCTTCATTTATTTGTACACTTCTTCACTGTGAAACAGTTGGTTTTCTAAAACATTTTTCCCTTCATCAAAATCACATGGCTTCCCTTCTTACTTTTCTCCTAGGTAAGCTTTGAATGAAAAGTGATTTGAAGACGGCATCCTACCTAAATGTGTCTGATTAACAGAGGACATGGAATTAACAGCCGACCCTTCATTTCCTGTTTCATTTAATTTCTTCTGTAAATCACGATTCTCTGTCACTATCTTCTTTAAATGCTCTTTCAATTGATCCTGTGGGGTAAAAGAAATAAATTTAAGAAAGAAACAATTAACTGTAGTTAGGGCTATTCCATTAAAATGTATGTGGGAGGGTAGGAAGGGACTTTCAAATTATCCCTACAACCAAGAACCATTTTTTAGATAATTGTTCATTATGGTAAAAAACACATACTGAAAAAAGTCCCATGACCCACATTCAATAATTTAACTTCCCTTCCTACCCTCCCACATACATTTTAATGGAATAGCCCTAACAACTTTTCCAAATCATTTCAATTCTTTACATCTTTAACCTGTATTATCATTTGATGCTGATTAGGCAGGTACATGTATTTCATTGCAATTCCATTAGTGAACCAATGAATTATTCCTCTATAAAATATTTTTCATATTGTCAGTTCGGGAACCGACGGACAATGAGAAATAGTAAACAAAGAACTTTTTAAAAAATTTTCTTGAATTGTTAATTGATAACAGTAATGACTAAAGTAAGAGATAATTCAACTTATTTCCTGATGTGTTATGACAATAATATACGTGAAAAACTATACAACACTGACGTCTTACCACATCTGTCTGTGCTTTCCGTAATTGTGTTCTCATCTGTGTTTCATTAAATGTACTATCGGCTAATGTTGCTTTGGTATCATTGGATTGCTTCCTCAAACGATAATTTTCTTCTTCAAGTCGATTTAATTGTTCATCAACATATCTTTTTTCCCTTGTAGAATCATCACCAAACTTTTTTCCAAGATTCTGTATTAAAGTATAGGCAAAACCTGAAGATATAATTTATGTAAAAATAACGTTAATGCTGCAAACATGTAAGTAGCACAAATTTGTTCAGCATTTGTACTGAAAATACTAGAATTCAAAACATCAACATTAAATTTATAAAAAGTGTACACATGTCAGTTTAATAGAAGATCTTTCAAAGATAATTAACATACTGAATTTGAGAGTTGATATTTTTACAAAAGCTAAAAGAAGCATGCATTCAGTGTTTGATCATAAAACAATAATTGGTGTTTAAAACATTTCAAGAGTTATCAAACAGAAATAAATAAGCATCTTTGAGTGACTTGGAAAACAACTATATCCATAATACATGAGTACTGAATCAGGAAATCAAGCAGCATTTAGCTTTATGCATGAATAGTGAATATTTTCCAACCCTAAACACAAACAGTAGAAATTATAACAAACCTTTGTATTTAGGATTTTTGTGTAAAGATTTGGTCCCATTCCAGTATCTATCTACAAGATCACACATTTTAAATAAGAATTCCCTGTATGTTGGAGTTTCTCCCTGAACTGGCTCGTTTTCAGACTTTGGTCTCTCGCGTGATCTATGTCCATTTTCAAGACGATCTCCTTCTATTCTATGCATACCAAATTCTTCCAAAGAATCCTGACATAATGTAATAAATGTATTCATTAAATACAATTCACATGACAACAGACTTTCCGTTTTGAATTTTCCTTGGAGTTCGGTATTATTGTTATTTTTCTTTTCACATATTTCATAGGTCCTTTCCTGCTTCTCCAGGTTGTGAAATTAAAATGGGTTGCAAGATCATTATACGGTAATTAAATGTGTTACTTAATAATATGAAGTCCTAAAGTTAACCATTGAAAATCCACAGTAAAGACTTAATACTTTTTACTTTGTAAGGCTCATGAAGAGAAGAAGTTTTACTGCTTCTTAATATGGATCAGAGTGTTAGTACATTATTGGATCTGTATAGAGTAGAATAATCAAATTCATGTGGCTTAGACGTCAAATACATTGTTCTAAACTTCAGTAAAAACTTTGCAAGCCTTCCTTAGTTGAACAGCATACAACTTGGATTAATGTTAAAGTTTTAATATAAAAATCTAAAAAAATAAAACAGTACATTTCACATTATGCAGTTTTCTATGATATACTATAAATACAAATGTAAAGTCCATTAATTTTCCTCACATTTAATTTGTGTGAAGGGACACTCTTTGTCCTTCTGTGATCATTGGGTTCCTCCTCACCACCATGTCGTCTTTCAGTAGGTATTCTAGGACTCTCTGATCTATCTCTACCATTCTCTAAAATATGAATATTCTATTAGTAAAAGAAATGTCAAATTAAGAAACATTTCCAAAATAAATATCATGCTACCAAATTTATATTCATAAAAAATAAACTGTTTGAAGACTTTTTTTCAATAAAAATTTACAGAATTCATGATCACAGGGAACATCTGTTGTCCAACACAAAACCTTTCTATTTCGACTTGAATTAATAAATACATTCTTCACCTGATATGTTTTTTTTCCATTTCAGACAGAAACTTCTGCATTAAAAAATTTTCTTGAGTTTCATAGTTCAATCTTTTAACAACTAGAAATATATCTTTTTTCCCAATTTTTCTATATATAGTTTACATATTTGGCAATATTATATGAAATTCTACCAAAAAAAAAAGTGCTATTTAGTGTGCTCACAAAATTAGGGAACTTCGGAGCTGTTAACCATAATCATGTTGCATTGTGGAAACACTATATGGGACATTAGGCATAGTCTTTCATAATCATCTGAATCTATCTTACCCATATTAGGATGAGGTGTGAAGTAACCATGACTTTTAAATTTAGCAAAGCATCAAACTATCTTACCCATATTAGGATGAGGTGTGAAGTAGCAATTAAGTAAAGCATCAATCTATCTTACCCATATTAGGATGAGGTGTGAAGTAGCCATGACTTTTAAATTTAGTATACGCATCAACTTCATCCTGGTATTGTAGGTTTTCATCTCGTCTGTAATAAATGATTTTTTTTTAATTTAAAACGATTTGTATCTTTATAGAGGGAAACAGTTACTTAACAAGAATGTGTCCATAGTACACTGATGCCCCACTCGCACTATCATTTTCTATGTTCAGTGGACCGTGAAATTGGGGTAAAAACTCTAATTTGGCATTAAAATAAGAAAGATCATATCATAGGGAACATGTGTACTAAGTTTCAAGTTGATTGGACTTCAATTTCATCAAAAACTACCTTAACCAAAAACTTTAACCTGAAGCGGGACAGATGGACGAAGGGACGGACGAACGGATGGACCACAGACCGAAATACATAATGCCCCTCTACTATCGTAGGTGGGGCATAAAAATTTAAATTATACCAATTAAACTAAAATTTCCTATCTTGTAATAAAAGTTAATATTGTCAACATTATGTAAAACAAGGTATGCTTTTTTTCAAATTAGGTTTGTTATAGTCATTGACAATTGATACAATACATTCTTATTTCAGAGATTTTCTTAAATTGTACTTTGAGATGCATTTGTTTCAGCTTACTAGTTTTCATATGTTTTTTTTTCCAATTTGTTAGACTCTCTTTCAATAGATTGAATCTAAAATTACTTCTGCTGAGAAACAATCTAATGAACAATCAAGTTTAATTGCTTTGAAGCACAGTTACTACAAAAACAAATTCATTTACATGAGTTTCTGAAAATTACACTTAATGCAAAAACAGAATCATCCCATACTGGCAATAATAGAACTACCCTGTATCAAATGACAGAAATAAAAGCCTTTTTGCCATACTTTTTAAACATACTTATCCTTTTTTCAAGGCTTCAACCACCTATGAAACTGACAACCAAAAATACAATTCACATTTCCCAATATAAACGTTCACTCTCATCATAAATCTATAGGTAATAAAGAAATAGAATTTTTAAATCACTTTAAAAAGAACTCTTACCTTGTACCATCAACATCATATGATCCTGTATGACCAGCAGGAATGTTGGGATACTTTTTCTGATGAGGAGCTACTGGTCCGTCTCCTGAACTGCCCGTCTGTTTTCTTGTCTGCTGGTAATCCTGCATTAAAAGCTACCATATAAACCTTTTGGTCGTTTGTTTTCAATCTAAACTTAAACTGAACTGGACCATGTATCATCTTAACTGTTGTTAGGCTTAATAGAAGTTAGATTATTTCAATTCTGTTCAATTTTAATTTACAACACACTATTTAGAAGCAGTATCTGAATGTCTCTATGCAGTCTGCAAAAGGACTAGTACAGTGACAGCATTATATCTTTGCCCAGAGATGGGAAGAAAGAGAAGTTAATAAAACTATTGTTCAACAACACAATGCATAATACTAGACACTAAAGTCTCTTCTTTATAACCAATTTATGTGCGTGTTAACCCATTCTTATAGAGTTTGTGTGCATGTAAGTATTAGCCAACATTATTACTCCCTTTTTTTATTTGGAAAGAAGATATGCTCAGTGTCATTCTTGTTTGTGTATGTGTGTGTAATAGCAAAAACTGATATTTTTGTAAAGTTTGTGTGTGTATATGCTTACCTCAATAGCTTCTTCTGGTACTGTTTCCATAGTTTTTAGAACTGAAATTAAGTATTCAATGATAAGCAGTTTAAATAAATTGTCAGAAGGTCAATGTAAACTTTTGCCGCAGCCTTGTTCCTCAATACTCTCCAAAACCTAATAGCATCATTAACATTTTTATAGGATTAAAGCTTAATTTCCGGGTAAAAAGAACCAAAATTCAGTTCTTAGTGTCTGCATCAGAAAAAAAACTTAGGAAGCCATCAACACAATGATGCATCCCAATGTCTCATTACATACATTAAATGTTTTAGAGAAATAAACTCAGATGTAAAATTTAACAAAGGTCAGTGTTTACAGGACATGTATGTTCTGCTTTAAGTTTTATTACTGATAGGTATCTTAGTATCTGACAACTAATTTCAGATGTAATCTTCAAACCTTAATCACTGAAACATCAAATTTAGGCCAAAGTGATTTATTTTTTGATGAAACTGTTTGATATATCAAAAGATACAACTATACCCAGTGGATAAAAAATGATTGTAGGTCTCTTTGTATCATAAAAATTAACTTTGAAGGAAAACTTAACGTAAATCACTAAAGCATGATAAACAGATAAACATTTCATACTTTTTTTGTTATATTATTAGATGCATCCTGTTGGTTTTCTTTGATTGCATTTTTGACAAATTATAAAAGTCAAAATGCCTTTTATATTAGATTTGTGTACCTAAAGAATTAATATTTTAATTTGTTTTTAAATTAAAAAAAAACATATCCATATCTTGTTATAATCATTTTCAAGGTTATTGACTCTACTCCCTTTATTCTGTTACATATATCAGTATGACCTAAACACAAAGTGATCAATTGTAAATTAATTTTTTAACATAACATATGTTCATGTGTCTATAATTTGTGATAATTTAATGGCAGCTAAAACTTTTACATTTCTAACAACATTCCATATCAAATATATCATTACCAAATGTGTGTGCTATTCTCATCCCAAATTCATGTCAAAACACATAAATACATGTAATTTTGGTGAATGGAAGTCTGTTTCAGAAATGAGAAGAGTTCTTGAAAGGTATCAATGAACAGTAATACTGTTAGTAAAAGGCATAAATAATTGGCTATAAACTTATACTAATAACTATCCAAAGATTAGAAATGTTTTAAATACAAACTACAGCAGAAATGATATATATAGACTTCTTATTCTAATCCATAAGCCCACATTTTATTTGTATCGTTATTTAGACAGCCATAGACAAGTTTATATGATTTAGCTTTTTGCTATGAGGTGGTAAGAAAATCCTATGATTAATCAATTATAATCAATTTACCGGTACTACCGATATATTTTGAATTTTCACTCTTGGTATAAAAAGGATTACAACTTCTTTGGGTACCAGATCTTAATGCTCTACAGATTTTGCCTGACTTGACAGGTATACATTAGATGTCTTTTCTAGTGTTGTTGCATTTAAGGGGTTTACTGGATTTGGTGTTTCGAGCACAAATTTTGTACTCCGAGTACTGAACAAAGTTTTATGACCGAGGGCCCTGTCTAATTGATGTATAACTACATATCATATCTTTTCATTCATTTTCCCAGTATTCAAATAATAAAACAAGTTCATGAACTAAAAAAAGACGGCAGTACCTTCTAGTGAGTATTCCTCTGCACTAGGTTCTCTAGCAGCAGACCCTGTTATAGGTCTAGGCTTACTCAAGTCCCCACCTGTATGGGCTATCAAATCTAATACTGCTACGTCATCATCATCTAAAGCTGAAAAAAGTTTTCTCCTGATTATATAAATTTCATGCTTAGAGGAGCGCTAAAAAAATCGTGCAAAATTTACCATGGTAGAAATTGGAAAATTCAAATCTGTGCCTCCTCTTACATAATTTTGTTGAAATCATTCCTTAAATTGATTAATAATGAAGAATACAATGTACACAATACACATGGTCCAATAATATGTAGATGGCCATATCCTGATGAGATCTATATATTATGTTTATTCTCAAGATAATTTAACTTGTATTAGTCTCACTTACAGAGCTTTCAATTGATTTTGGAGTATTCTAAAGCTGCCAAAATAGGCAGCTACTTGCATATTTATTTCAAACACAAGTATTCTGAAGTAAGTGGAGCAGTGTAGCAGGTGGTAACCCGCCACATATACTATATATATATTTCTGAAAGCTCTGCACTAAATTTTGATACATTTACCACATATTAGAGTAAGCCAGAAGATAGTTAATACATTTAGCAAGACTAATGGTTAAAAATTGTAATGAATGGTTAATTCTTGAATTAGGAGAGGAAAGTTATGGGTATTTGGTCTGAATGGAGAAATAAACTTGAGGAAAAATGTATTATAAACAAATAATTGTCCCATTCAGACTGGGATTTTTGGAATGATGTTTCTTTTTTTAAAAACACTATTAATTGTTGTTTGCTATATGCATCATACCATACTTTGATACGGAAAATATTTTATGAAAATTCGTCAAATCATTCTTTTAAACTGAAACTGTCTGCTATATATTTAATAGAACTACATTTAATAATTTTTTTTCCTATATTCACTTTAATTCCACAGATTTTTTTATACTGTAGATTCGTTATTATTTGTGGGATACCAGTTTTGTGGATTTTGTGGGTATAGGTTAACTATGATTTTAAATGTCAACAAAGTATAAGTTTTCTACTGGTTTGTATGCAAACTTTGGCATATTAATGAAACAAAATGTCCAGGAATATACAATTTTTCCTCAATCCACGAAAAATTTATTCCAACATATACAAATGAATCCACAGTAGACCTATACTTTCTCTTATGCCCCTTTCAGACTGAGCCCTAGTGTTGGGTCGTTTGGGTGGACAATATTGAGATAGTTCTATCTACCTGTCATTCCTTTCCCCATGCCCCTTACAGACTGAGCACGAGGGTTAGGCTGTCTGTGTGGAGGTTCAATGATTTCTTCATGTGGTGTCATCTCAGTGGCCTGACTTGAACTGAAATGGACTAGAGCTGCCTGTCTCTCTCTGTCTCTAACACCTCTATCATCTAAAGTGAAAAAAATATGCAAATTATAACATTATGTGAGTATATTTTGTCAAATTACTTGTATAATTTGGATTTCTTACATTCTCCTTAAATTTACATCATATATATGTAACACTCCCAAACGTGTCCATCCCCCCAAACGTGTCCCATTCCCCCAAACGTGTCTATTCCGCCCAAACGTGTCCTTAAAATCCCAAATCGCCCATACGTGTCCAATTTCGCATCCCCAAACGTGTCCGATAATTGTTATTCGCCAAAACGTGTCCACTTTGGGACGCCTGAACGTCTCAAAACTTTTAGCGCTATTATGTTCTCAGTGATGTTAATAACGTCTACGGCAATTAATTTCTCGGGGACACGATTTAAGATGTCGGGCTTCGATTAGATCCTATAAAAAAGATTAAAGCCGTATTCAAAAGACATAAATGCTGAAGTATTTTGGCACAATTACTGGAGATTAAAAAAGGAACAGAGTTTAAAGAAGAAAATCCTAAATTTGTTAGCATTTGTTTGTTCAGCGCCGGCTGCTTATATTAGTATAATTGCAAGTTTGATTTGCAACATATGAATTTACTCTTCATTGTTGATTGCTTATAGTCCAGTTACAAATATTTCATGCAAATTCAGAATGACAACATAAATATTTTTTTTATTTTTGGTGTTTTAACGCCACTTTTAAGCACCGCTTTTGGACTATTTCGTGGCTGCCAGTTTTTATTGGTGGAGGAAGCCGGAGTGCCCGGAGAAAACCACAGACCTTCGATAGGAAAACTGACAATCCTAGTCAATTAAGATTGGAGTCGAGTGCACTCGCACGGGCGGGGTTCGAACTCACAACCTCAGTGTTGACTGGCTAGTGATTACAGTAGTAACTACTTAGACCACTCGGCCACTGAGGCCCCTACAACATAAATAAATACATAAGGTAGATCTATCTCTTCCTACACGAGGGACATGACTGCGTACTTTTACATCCCACACAGCCAAAATGGACGCCCAACTTTGGCAAGGATTTAACTGTCGGTTGGATTTTAACAAAATTATAAATTTTAATATTGGTGGACATGTAATTGTTACTTGAAGGTCAAAAATTAAATTAATTGCATGGGCATTTGAAAATATGGACAAGATTGAGTGTTCATAATAGGAAACATTTTGACTTGATATGGACACGTTTGGGGGAATGGACACGTTTGTGCGCTCATAATACTGACAGGTTTGGTTGCCCTTTTGCAACTGGACATGTTTTGAATTCAACAACGTCATATGGACACGTTTGGGGGAATGGACACGTTTCTGAGTGTTACATATATATTGGTTAAGTGCTTGATCAGTGAAGGTCATAATGACATATGTGACCTTCAAATGTGTTGTTTGGTTGCTGTCTTACTGTGATTTATATAATTGATATCATATTACAGAACAGAAGGTGTATTAATTCCAACACAAAATCACTACATGTACTTGACAAAACCAAAAGCAAAGGTTCAGTTTTCTGGTTGTGTTCTTCTCCAAAGTCTGAAACAGTTAGGCCTTCAACACAAGCTATTTCACTGCAGTTTCAATACAGTTCTCAAATGATAGTGTTCTCCCCAGGCCCTTAAAGGATTTTTAAAAAATTTTAAAAGATATTAAAGCATACAAACGGTTTATTGATTTACTTCTTTTTTACCAATAATTTTCAGACTCAATGTCTACATAACACAGTACCACAGTATTAAAACAAAACAAAAGACAAAGAGGTAATGACATAAAAACTAACCAGAAATATAGCTTAGCGACGCAAAATGACTGATTGTACGAATCATTTCACCAAGCACTCATTACCCTGGTGCTATCCAAAAATCCTGGGAAGAACACTGAATGATTTATATCATTCCAGAAAAACAATCAAACAGACTTTTGAAATACAAAAGTATATGTGTTCTTATTAATTAGATGCAAACCATACCTAGTTTCTGTAAATTTGGAAGCATATGAATAAGATATAGTCTGTAGTCTGCTTCAGTCCTAGTAACAGGGTTCAATCGAAGGTCAAGTTCTCTTAGATTAGTATTGAACCTTAATCTCTTCAATTCCTCAAAACTCTCAATACTGTTGTAGTATCTTTTCTATGTTAAGGATAAACAATACAAAGATATTTGTAGATATATTATTTTCAGTTGAAAATATGTTTGAAAGACGATTTTATGGATCCTTATATTGGAAAATAACAATTGCAATCACATAATAGTAATTGTCCGAGATCAACCCGACTTTTGCTGTGATTCCTGTTGCTCAGTCTATAGTTTTTTATGTTGTGTTTTGTGAACTGTTGTTTGTCTTTTGGTCATTTTTTATTTTTCGCCATGCCGTTGACAGTTTGTCTTCCACCTATGAGTTTGAATATCCCTTTAGTATCTTCTGTCTCTCTTTTATTAGCTGTTTCAGATATATCACATCTTGCAGTTGATTTCATCACACAAAAAACAATAAGACTGTTGGTTTGACATCAGATAGGAAACAACAAAGTAATGATTTGTTTTTGGCTTGATTTTTTTTTTTCTCACTTACATGACTTTATCTTAAATAGTTTTAACTGTGAATTTAAGTTGCTGCACAATATTCTTTTCTGTTACTACAATTGAGTATGCCATGTTTGTGTTGTACAGTATTGAAGATTACAAAACTATGCTTAAATCAGATCAGGTGAAATGAGATATTTTTAAATTCTTAAAGTTAGCATCACAATCTATAAGAAAATCTTTTCATAAAGCATCACATTCAAAAAAGATAGAATCACATTAACAGGATGCTAAAAAGCCTAGGGAGATCAAACCCTCTTCCACCAGTATAAAACTTTTTAAAAACTCAATTCAAATGGTTATACACAATGAAATTCTTATATCAATTTGTTCCAACTAATTGCAAGGATACAGATTCAGTTTTTCCAGAAGCTTCAGATGTTCCAGTCCCTGTGAAAAACAAAAGATAATATCAATATTTGTTTTATGTGAATGAAATGTACCATACAAATGCAACATTAATTTTCAAATAAACTGTAATGACTGTTACAGAGTATAGAGAATATTATCAAATAAGGGGAGATAACTGGGTAAATATAAAATATTACACAAATTAAGCAATCTGTAGCAAATCAATCCCAAATACATCCCCTGGAAAGTTACCTTATATATTCCTTGACAACTTTAGAAAAGTTTGTTGAATTTAATTTTAATAGAAATCCATAATGTACTGTAGCACACAAAAACAACATTATAACCCAATTAGGTTCTAGTTGCTTTAAGTATAAAATCTTGAATAATAACAGGGGTGTGGAAATATTTGTTGTGACCACTTGTCCCAGGGCAAGTGAAATTGTAAATTTTACTTGTCCAGAAGAAAAGTTACTTGTCCTGATTTCTTAATGAATTTTGGAATGAAGAAGATGTATTTTACTGTAAACATGTATGTTTTTAAAACAGTTTTGAAACACTATGAAAATGGTATCCATGGTGTTTGTTTGTATGTTAGAGTGATAAAAAGATAAGTAGAGTATACTTCAAGGAGAAAGAAACCAACCAAAATAACAACTTTAAACTAAAGAATGTTTTTTTGATGCTAGCTTACATGAAACTGGGAAATTATATCATGACTTATATTTTCCTCACTGTGAGCCTGTGCGAAGTTCTAAAGTAAATGAAGAGATGAAAACCAAATAATAGATAATTTATTGAATTGTTGATTTCCGTTTGTTCTTTCTAGCCAAAACTAAGTTCTTGGCTCAACAATTTTATTTTTTATGAGGCGCCTCTTTTCCGTTGTTCAACTTCCGAGGATGACTTATCTAAAGATGCTTATCCAACTTGACCGGTCATTTAGTTTTCATTCTTGAGAAATCAGAGCTCGAAATTAATAATAACCATTTCTGGTGAATTGCTGCTATAACCCTGATTGACAATCCCGGATCAATGGGAAAAAAATCACAAAATATTATTGAAACCCTGGTCCGCATACTTATTTTTTGTTGTTTGATAGTGGATTTTTTTCTTGATCATTGATGTTGTTTTACTTGAACATGTTGCTTTCGTCTTGTTATTTGATATTTTGTCAAATTTGATAAATTGTGAGAATGTTTCTATATGGTTATATAAATTAACATTGTCAAGCAACAATTTTTTACTTGTCCACGGACAACAAAGACACAAAACATTGCTTGTACGGTCGGTCAAATGTACGAGTCGAGCGAGTCGGGCATAGGATTTCCACACCCCTGAATAAGTATCAAGTTCTAAGATTATGTATTGGTAACACTTTATACAAAGTTCTTAAGAAAGAATATCTTGTTACCTTTAAGCATGTGATAGTATTTCTGGATAAATCAAGGGACTTTAGTCTGGAGAATTTTCTAAAGGAACTTCCTAGTTCTACAACTTTTTCATGGTAAGTTCCTGGCAGAGATAATGCCTTCACATCCTCTGAAAAAAAAAAACGTAGTGAACAAGAGTATTATTTTAATTTCACATTTTTCTTTTCACTAATACATCTGTACAATACTACATGTAGTTATGATCCCACAATAATGGTCTAAATGACAACTTCGGTGAATTCAGAGCATGCAGGACTAACAGCATATATATCTACATATTAATAACATTGGCAAATTTTAAACAACCAACAAGATTATTTTATTTCATTACTATGTATATGCGTATATACAACAAAAGAGGGAGGGTTTAGTGTAACCCAATGACATGTCAATGAGTCTATCCAAAGTCACAAGTCTTTACTTATATCTTACATGTAATTATTTTTTCTTTTTTGGGGAATTTGGTGTTGTGGTATATCTTTAATAGTCTATTAAATTGTTTCACAACTTTTATACATACACTCAGGTCAATTTACAGCTTAACATACTGTATAGGGTCTTAAAAAATCCCTCTGTTTCAACTCACCCTGCCTACCCTACAAAAATTTTGGGTCATTTTTGAACAAGCAATATTCAAGTCAGACTGTTTTCCTTGTAACCAGTCAGAAACTTTTTGAAAAATAAACTTATTTGCTTACCTACCAACTCAATTTTTTCAGCATGTTAGCAGAAACACAAGTATTAGGCAAAAAACCCCATGTAAGTTAAAGGTCACCTGCTGAAAAAAAAGGTGTCAGCTAGTACAATGTAGGTCGGCAAAACTCTATTTTATTTGACATGTTTGATTGACAAACCATGAATAGCCTTATCTGGTTCCTAAATAGGATTGGGTAATGTATAAACCTCTATAAATGGTAAGCAGCCATTTGTAGAGGTTGCTATTGGTCAGTCAGATATGTTTTTAATCAGTTTTACACAATTTTTGTTGATGATTTTCTGCGTTAAGCCATTCCTGTCAACTTCTGAAACTGAAAATGCAGGTCATGACCTGCATTGAAGAAGAAAATGTCAGGTCATAAGGCATACAAACTTTTTTCGGTCCAATTTTAGTATTGAGAGTTTTTTTTTTTATATACTATAACATATACATGTACCACTTAATTTCCTAAAAATACTAAGTAAACACTTTTGTATTTGTTAAAAAAGAATATAAATATTTATCATTAATTAAATATCTTTCTACAGCAATGCCCTTTCATTGTTTTATTCACACTAGTTTACTTCTTATTAATGAATTTCATAAACCCCAGCTATACATGTACATGTAATTAGAAATCAATATTATAGCTAATGTGCTCCTATACACAGGAGGAAGATAAATAGAAAGTTAGTGTGTTTCCTTTTAGTGTAATATCTAGAGCATATGGATTTGATTTAAAGCTTTTACATTTAAGTGATAACAAAATTATTCTCTCCAACAGAAATGTATTAAAAGGTTCAAATTGTTTTAAAATGATTTCTACAGGATATTTGATATTTGCAAATGGCAAATCTTTTAATCAGGACATAGAATTGTATGTCAAGCTTGACTGGCTTCAACTTTCTGTGGTAAAATTAACAATTTTCAAATTGTTATTTTTCAATTAAATGTAATGTTTTCATAGCTGTCATTGGCACGGTAAATAAGCAAATTCTAATTTCAATTGTTTACCTTTTGAAAGGAAAAAGCCGAGAAAATCGAAAGTACATGTATATTTGACTTCTAAATACTGGAAACAATAACGGTCAGAAATACGGGTGAAAACATGTCATTTTCTGAAATCCCTGGTTATTTGAATACCCGGTGGGTATTTAAAAAATCCTGTGTGAAGGGGGAAATTCTCGGGTTACACCCGCAGAATATTGGTCAGTTGACAGCTATGGTTAAGCTGGCAGATGAACAAAAAGAACATCACTGTCGAGAACAATACAGGTGAAAATATAATTTACTCAATTTTCAGTGACAAAAAAAGTTAGGGTCAGTTTGGGATTTTGTGAGTTGTTGGGTTGCTTATTTATTGGCATATAGCCAACATTTCCTTTTAATCACGTTTTAGCAATATGTGACTAAGTAAATATACAATGTTAGTTTTATCTTACATGTATTTATGCAGCATCAAAAAGTGTTTTTCTTAGTGGCAATTTTATCTATAAATGGCAGTATCTTTTAATATAACACCACTTGTATGAGTGATTGCATTTGATCTAGTCTTCATTTGTTTTATGATAAAGAGACAACTTCTCTTTTTATTTAATTCATCTTTACAAATCTCAGTTCTAACTTTAATTTAATATCAACTTTTAAAAAAAAAAGAAGTGCAATGATGTTAAACAACGAAGTCCTTTTCTTCTTTGTAGATCCTTCCAAAAAAATGAACCTTTCACCTTAACTTATTGCTTAACTATCAAGTCTAGGTAAATAATGGGAGATAACTCAAATATTAATTGACTACATATAATATACAGATTTACACAGTGGACAACAAACAACTTAAGGTTTTAATTTATTGTAATATCAGTTTTAGATTATTTTCAACAACTTGAAATGTGAACAGCCTTTAAACAATTTAAAGTAATGCAATAAAGGCATTTAATAACATGCCATGAATAGTTTATTACTAACATGTCATGACAAGTTGACAGGAATATATTGTATTCTCAGTGCTCTATCTATTAAAAAGTTTTTCGTCATGAATATCTGAAGAATTTTGTAATGATATATCTAAAGAAATGCATCCGAAAGAGTTTCAAATGAATTAGCAATATTTTCCTCTTTTTGGCAAACAAAAACTCAGTCATGCAAACAACAGAAATACTCTGAACTAAAATATTTGTTGGTAGAACTTTGTTTTCGCTGACATGTTCAAATATTAACAATTTTACTTTAATAATAAAATATTGGTATGAACTGACACTGAAAACTAAACGAACATTTACCTAAATTGTCATGCTGTAAATTAACTCTATTTCGAATGATTTCTTCTGTCAATGTTAGCGCCATGTTTTCAAAACACTGATACTAAACAGCTGTGAATCAACATCTAGCACGATCATTCGACAACGTTATTACAAGAAATTACTTCCCTTTTTCAGTAGTCCAAACGGTGCGTATTTAACGAAAAAATAATTAAAATTTGTGTATATATAACGAAGCAATGATCAATAAAAGAAAGGAAAAAATAGAAAACAGAAGTCTTAAGAAATCATCTACAGTACCCTTCTTACATTTTAAGGTGGATTAAAAATTTCATCACCAAATATTTTCTCAGAAAGCTTTATACTTTGCCAAAATGTAGATTTTTCCATGCTTGACTCATGCTTTTTTTCAAAAAAATAATAAAAAGTGTGGGTCAACGGGATATTTTACAAGCTACAATTTGCGAAAAATTTCCCAACTTTACATAGATTATTCATGAAATAAACAGGGTATTTTTTTGTGAATAGAAAGAAATCTATCAGATAGAATTTTTAATCAAAAGATGAGAAGATATATACGATGTTCGTTGTTATTCTGCGGTTTACATGTTGTAACGACTATTATATTATTTATTTGTTTCTCTGTGCTGAGTTTCTTGCGTTTGTTTGTGCTGTATTTCTGTGACGTAGTGTTGTCATTTTAGCGATATTTTTTAACATTGCCATATAAGCGGGAGGTTTGGCTAGCCATAAAACCAGGTTCAACCCAATATTTTCTTAAAGTGTTCTGTACCAAGTCAGGAATATGGCAGTTATTATCAAATAGTTCGTTTGCATGTTGGCGTTTGTTTTTGTTGCACTCCAGTGTTTCTGTTGTTCCGTTGTTTTCCTCTTATAGTTGATGTGTTTCCCTCGGTTTTAGTTTGTAACCCGGATTTGTTTTCTCTCAATCGATTTATGAATTTTGAACAGCGGTATACTACTGTTTCCTTTATTTAATAATATATGCTTTTAGAAAATAAAAAGAAAACATGGTTTCACCGAACTTGTTTTCTTGCTACCAGAAAAAAATGAAAATTTCGTTAACATTCCGTTATCAATTTTGAACTATAAAAGTTATCTCCCCTTATATATGACCAAGTAACAAAATTGGACCGAACAACAACAAATATTTAATATTTGTAAAAACAGTCAATATAATACAATAAATCACTTATTTTTCTTTATTGAAATAAACAGTCTTACACAAAAATGCATTCTGCCTCAAATTTGCAGATTTCAGCAAAGAACTGGACCGATTGTGTACTACTATTTTACAATCCAATATGACGATATATACCTTATATAAAATTAAGATGCGGTATGATGGCCAACGAGACAACTCGCCGCCAGGACTAAATGGCGTAGAAGTTCTTGGCTCAACAACAGTACAATAATAGAAAAAATAGAGATTAATAGAAAAAAATAAGGATAACGAAAAATAGCCGAAAGAGTAACAATTTTAGAAAACAAAAGTAAACACTTTCTATACCATACTGTTAGCCGCAAATGCTCAGATCCATAAACAGAGGGGGGGGGGGGGGGATTCGAATGATGTACGGGTCAACACTAAATATAAAAAAGAATGGACAATATTCAAAAGTACGGTAACAGGTTTGGATATCACGTTTTTTATTTATGAATTTTGCATGCAGCATGAACTGCATGTGGAAAGTATTTTAAAAAATCACATAATTGCGGGTAAACAGCTGGTTTTCCACAATAAATCATATTAGATATAAACTCGACTTAGACTTAGAAATTATAATTATATATTCCTATAAAAATGGTTTAAGGCAGTATTTACAATTTTCCCTATATATACTTTCAACACTTTCTTCGATTACTTTGCTGTTGATTTGTATATCAGTTAGTAGCTCTTCGTGTTCTTGTACTCGTGCCACTACTGAAGACATTTTTGCGTTAATGTCCTCTATTAACTTAACATTGTCTCTATGTTTTCGATTTTATCGTTCAAATGAAGAAGAGTGAAGAGTGTTAATTATTCCGATCAGCACAGTTTTTGTTTCAATTTCATCGGCTTTGATTTAATCTGTTGTATATCGAATATTACGATATCGATATCGTCCATTTTGTTTTCTTTGAACGGTTCTAAAAAAGGACTTGAAAAAAAAACAGATTAGAAAAGCCATTATAAAATACTTCTATTTCTATATTCCGGAAACTTTGCTAACTACATATTTTAAATTTCAAGACAACTTTAACAAAGAAGATTTAAATATCTAAAACTTCAGGCACCCCTAAATTTGGTTTAAATTAGCATAAGTTCTCACAGTCTCTGTATACGAAATCAGGTAGATATGAAAGAGTAAAGAATAACGAGGTTAAATTTATTAAATTAAATAGGAATATGATGGTTTGTCAGTTATGTAACTCAGGACAAATAGAAGATGAAATAGATCTTATTTGCAATTGTCCAAAATCTTTCATACTTAGAAAGGTATTCGTTAAAGAAATGATAAAATATCCCGAGTAAAAATTTTCAAAAATTAACAGTAAAAGAAAAAAAAAATGTAGAGTGGGGTGCTCATTTTCGCCATAATTTTCAGTTAATCTGCAGTTAATGTTCAGACCTTTAAGTTTTTGAAGTATACTGATATTTCTATATGAAGATAACATCAAAGCAAAATATTCAGGCTTAGCTTGAAAACGTGTTTCTCTGAAAAAAATCATCTGAAAAGTTAGATTAAAGGCTATTTGAATTTTCCTGATGTTTTGTCATAGGGGGACACATATTCGCCGTTTTTACAAATCTATTTAAAACCAAATAACTGCAGCTTTAAACAAATATTTATCAAATCAATTTCATTATAGATGAATAGCAGACATTTCAAAGGTGTAAAGAACTGAAATTTAGGGCAATCAGTCAAAGAATTACTAAGAAATACTTCTTTGAAATCTTTTTTTTTCATTCAGGAAATTGGCTGAAAATCGTTGTTCGTTTTTCGGTCCTTTGCGGTAAGTGCCGAAATTTTGTCTAAGTTTAAAAAATAATCAAATTTGTTATAAAAATATAATCTACCGGCATATTTCTTCCATTTCAGCAATCCTTTGAAGTTCGTTCTACACCTCAAAATCATAAAACGGCGAAATTGTGTCCCCGGCGAAATTATATGCGCCCCACTCTATTTATTATGACAAAATTATGTGAATACTGAGTTATAAATGCTTTTCAAACAAGATCAGACAAATGATTAACACTATGACTCGAAACAACGATTTTTGGATATCTTGTGGTACTGTTAACATGTTATACCAAGGATTTATATAGTAAGATTATATTACTAAATGAATCTTACTATATACATCCTTGATCATACACATTAATATCATTTTTATTTATAATAACCGAACTGTATATGAAATTTGTATATGATCTGGGACATATGATGGTAAAATGATGAATCAGTTATGCATTTCCGACTGTAAAAATAACCTGAAATACAAAGATGTCATTATTGCTTTATTATTACTTTTTTATGAAGTTGCTTTTGATATTCCGACTATCTTGATTCATTTGTGCCACATAACTGGATTTGTATTTTTTTGTGGATATTAAAAAAAAATGTAAATTTTATACTTTCCAAGATCAGCAAATGAAATTCGGAAAAGTACAGATGGCATACGCGTTTATATCGCAAAAAAAAGAAAAGAAGAAATTTTGACTTAAAACTATAATTTCTCGAATCCCTGTCCAACGAATTTTCGTTAAAAGAGAAGATTCTAACGGAGGACGTTGTATGATGTGTACTATTATTCAAATGTAAACAAGTCAAAGCATGGCGATGTAAACAACGCAACCGGCATATTCATAATTTCGTCGCAGAACCGAAATATTAGTAATTTCAGTAATTATGGAAAAGGCAAAGGTAACATGAAAAGCGAAGAATTTAGGAAACAATGTGTGTGTCCACTGTCTATTGAGAGGGTGGTAAACAAATGAAGGGTATACATGGTATAGGATGCCAGTCTTTATTTCACGTGTTTTCTTGTCTTGAAATGTTATTCACTTATTTTTCTCCGTGTTTCCTACAATAATAGGCTTATGTATTTGTTTAGACCTATACAGCATTTTCTGTTCATCATAAATTTACTCCTTTTCAAGTTCTTCTATACCCATACCCCCCCCCCCCCCCCCCCCCCCTTTTCCACACTCACAAATACACACACCATACGACATGATAGGTTTAGTAAGTCCCCAGTTCTAGCTTTTATACTTGTATCTTATGCTTTCTTTATAAAAGTGCATATATTTGAACAGTTTTCATTTAATCAGAATATACGCTTGTTTTTTTCCGCTGACATCAACCACAGAAGGTATAATATTTGATACCTTGTGAATGATTTTGTTTATTTAACCAACATGACCAATAATTAGTTTCACACGTTAATGTATACCTGTTGGTACTTAAGAAAGTCGATATACATGCCCTGATGGGAAGACATCATTGATAAGATAGGAAAGAATTTTTATGAAATTATTTTACAGTTTTTATTTCTAGTATATGTACAAATTTATTAAGTCATTTAAGTAATGAATATTATTATTATTATCCCAAACTTAGAATTTACAAAACTGAGGTAAATAGGAATTGGGGCAAGCATACCATAAAAAATAGGAATTGGGGTAAACATACCCTTGCATTGAATCAATTTTAATAAAGTTTACACTTACAGAAATGTGCAAGCTGATAATTGCTAAAGACATAAAACTACTAAGTAATGTATTTATCCTTTCTTTTAAATCTAGGAAGCAGTTGATAATTTGTACAGCTTTAGAGACCATTATTTTGAGAAGTTTCCACTTGAAAAAGCCATAGATAAGAATGATGATGTAAAGAAAGAGATGACCAAAACAGTTCAAGTATTAGATGGTTTAAAGGGTATGCAATATATCTATGTTTTCTGTTATTAAAACAGGAGACATTTGTATGTTTATTTAAAGGGTTTACCGGTAACTGTCAGAGTGGGAAAAAGTGGAAAAACAGAAAATAAAATTTTAGTTTTATTTTCACATCAGGTTTTTTTGTTGTTGGCCATGGAAAGTTAAATATTATCTTCAGAACTTACAATCCAACATTTCCTTTCACCCTCACATTAAGCTCTGGACACAATTTTGCATAAAACACTACATGATCATTGAACATGGCATCTATAAACTCCTATCCTGTGAATGTTTTGTTATGGCAGTGGACAGTATGGTTGTGTATAGAGGTTGTGGTGAGGAGAAGCAAACTAGTCAACATTTTACCAGATGGTGATCTTGTAATTGTAAATATCAGTTGCATTTCATTTTATTTAGTTATGATTTAAATCTGATGTTGCTCTGACAATGAAATAAATGCTACAGAACTTTGAATTCATAAAATGTAAATTAAATTTACAATTTTCATTATGACACCAGTTCGCTCTACTTCAGACAGAATTGACCTATGAAGGCTTTGACTGTTTTGTCAGATTTGTTTGCTTTTTTAACTCCCTTTTGTTTTACATTAAGTTATTTTAGAATAATTTTTTTTGTAATAACCATGATAACTGGTAATAGTTCTTTCTTTTCAGATGAGATTACAAATAAAGCTATTTATCATATGCTGAGAGGGAGAGCACTAAATGTTTTACCAACCTTTGATCCCTTAGCAGAGGAAGCCTTGTCAAAAGCAGTAAAGTTAGATCCAAAGTTGGTTGATGCCTGGAATGAATTGGGAGAAAGTTATTGGAAGAAGGGAGAAGTTCCTGCTGCAAAAAATTGCTTTGTTGGAGCTCTTGGACATGTAGGTTTCTATCAAATGAATATTCCTAGCAACGTAAAGTCTTTACAATTATAATCAATATTTTACTTTTGTATTTTATGGCTTAACTATTGAATTGGTATGAATATGTGCTTTGGATATTTAAATATTTCTGTGCCAACTGTAAATCAATGAAAATAGAGTAATCTCCCATATTCAAATGATTTTTTTTTCTTTTCAGAATTTTTTTTCTCTTTAGTATAATTTGAGCTTCTAAAATTAACAAAGCAAAGTCATAATTTATTTATTAATAATTACACTTTGATTAGAGACAAAAATCACATTGTTCCAGTTTTTATCATTGCAAACCTGGTACTGCCACATTTTTTGCATTAATAAAAATATCACAATAATTTTTGACTTTACAGTAAATATAATGTTAATCACCTGTAGAGGGCTGTTTCATCTTAGCAATATTGATTTCAATACTTACCAAATGTCTTCAGATTGAATTGAACTGACCAGCTGCAGGAAGGGTTCTTAACACCTGTGTGATTTTGAATAAGCATTTTAAGAAGTCAAAATAAATCTTTAGATCTGCAATAATAGAATGTAAGCTTCTTCGATTGCCCTTATTAATATCTTCTGTTTGCTCAAGGTAAAAAACAAGGTTTCATTAAGAAATTTATCAATGGTGCTGAAACAGCTGAGTGGTAGTCCATCAGACAAACTTAAGATGATAGAAGAAAGTGTGGAGAAAGCAAAAGATGCTGTACAACTAGACATACATGATGGTACTTCATGGTGTAGGTATTTGTATCCATAGACCTCACAGTTTGGTTGACATTTTTATGGTAAAAGGATTTTTTCTTTCCAATCACCAGTCATAGTACAGGACATTTCCCATTATTGATTACAGTACATAGAATTGCATGATTTAGGTATTCTGTCTTTATGATAAACCTTCATTTTGTCAGCTTTTCGAAATCATAATATTTTGTAAATGAATTAACACTGAACGAAAATTGGATTTGAAAGAACCTTAGTATGCTCATTTTAACCTTGAAATAGGTTTGCTTGAGCTATTATAGTACTCGTACATCTACATATAAAGAAATAAAAACATTAACTATACCATATCAAACAAAAAGAATTTTAACAATAATATTTGCTTTCCTATTTTTCAGTGGTACTGGGTAATGCATACCTATCATTGTTTTTTGCTGCAGGACAGAATCCCAAGTCTTTGAAACAAAGTATGAGTGCTTACTTACAAGCAGTAAGTACCATGTCTTAAATTGAATTACTACTGTTTTCATTTTTTTTGTGAAGACAATTTCAATTTCTTTAGCTCATCTGGCACTAAAGAAGTTGTGAGCTATTGATGTCACTTAGCATCTGTCATCCAATTTTTTTCATCAAATTAAAAAAAATCTCTTTGAAAACCATGCGGTCAGTTAAGGATAATAATCAGTCTGCCACATTATTAAGGGTCTTTTTTAAGGATAGGTCCAATGTCTCTGATGTTCAACCAACATTGTCTCTAAAAAAGAACATAGTGGGGTAAAATCTCTTAAAAAGTCCATTGACAATTCAGAGTGATAATCTGGATTAGGAACCAATTGTTTCCAAACTTCATGGAAATGGAACATTTGTGAATCCCTTTAAAATTATGACTGCTAACCTCAATTAATTGTTATTGTTCATTTTCCTACTTTTGCTAAAAACAAAAAAATATATAAAAAAAGGAAGAAAAAACTAAAAAAAATCATTAGGTTAAGAATAATCATGAGCACCATGAGATATTAAATAAAAAAATTATGAAAAAGGACAAACTTCCTCCAAACTTTAGAAGATGACACATTTGTGATCCAATGCTAAGAAAAGAGAATTGAACCAAAAGTCAATCTTCAATCCCCTTAGGATGTTGGTTCATACTGACTTCAAACATTTCCGACGCCATTGCTAAAACCGAAAAATGAATTGATAAAATACAGAAAAAAGTTAGTTTTTACAATGCATTGAAGAAGAAATATTTGTAAACCCTTTCAATTGATGCCACCAATGGCAGTCAAACATGACTGTCGACAAAACTAAAAATAGAAAATAATAAAGAAAAGAATTATAATATGGTAAACAATTCTAGAAATGCAAATATTTGATATTAAGAATAACTGTAAGTTGAGCAGTACAGATTTTTTTTTCTGTATTTGGAAATATATGTTGCAAATTACAGTCAATCATTTTGCATTTTTTCATTCAATTTTGCATCCTCTGTATCAAATGTTTATTGGTACATGTAATTAGTATTTTGTAAAATTAATGATCTCTCACACATTTCAGGAGAAAGATTCTGTTGCCAAAAATAATCCTGATCTCCATTTTAACCGATCTGTGGTAAGTAAAACATGTTATGCAGAAATGAAGGGAAATATGTTTAAGGTAAATGTAATACAGAATCCCCGTCTAAATCAAACTCTGTGTTAACAGGGAATTGTGTCTTAACCAAACCCTGAGTAAACTAAAGACATGTCCACTGCTTATTCTAACAGAATAGGTGTTGCTTATTGTTGGAGACCATACAGTGACCTATAGTTGCTAACTTCTATGTCCTTCGGTCTCTGGTTAGAAGTTGTTTATAGGCAATCATACCAAATCTTCTTATTTTTATATTATTAATTTATAGTCTCCAAAAATATTAAAGCTAAAAACCTAAAGGAAACAGAAAGTAGTAAATCAATCAAAATTAATTGGTTGATTTATTGGTGTTTAACACCACTTTCAACACTATTGTGCTATTTTGTGGTGTCAGTTTTTATTGGTGAAGTAAGCCGGAGAGAACCATGGACCTTTGATAGGAAAACTAGCAATCCTAGTCAATTAAGTTTGGAGTTGAGTGCACCTGCCCCGTGCGGGATTAGAACTCACAACCTCATAGTTGACTGGCTAGTGATACAGTACACGGTAGGTATAGTGTCCAGCTAGGATCGTGGTTTTTCGAGTGATTTGATCGGGTTTTTTAGAGTGTGACCACTTTTTTTCGAGTTAATATGATAAAAAATGTAAACAAACAGACTTCCTTTCTGACAAGACGTGATACAGAAGCTTGGGTTTAATATACAAGGCTTTACAAGGTGTTTTAGTATTTGAGATAAAAAGATATTACCAATCCAACACTATTTTTCTTTAAAAAAATTGAATTGAGCCATACAATGCTTTTATTCCAAAAAACGGAATAAAGCCATTTTTATACACATACCAATGCAAATGTCTATGGAAATGCATACATGGAATCCATATATCCTTAGATATACAGACACTTTACAAAAGTTCTTGTTATTGCATTGAAAACGACATTTTGAGACTAAATTCATTTCTATGTGTTTGGGTTTTTTCGAGAGTAGTCCGGGTTTTTTCAGGTGATTATACAAATTTCCTGTGGCTTAAAATGTTATTTGTCAGTGTATTTACGCTTAATAACAATAAAAAGGGTTCAAATTCTGTACTTTTTAAGGCACAAAACCAATGCATTCATCAGTTTGATAATGGTGTACTCACACTTATACTTTATAAACAAGTATCGTTCATTTGTATATATTGTTGTTTGTCACATCTTATAAATTATATGTTCAGTATATATTCATGATGTCAACAATCTCATGTAAGCATAGACAATTTGGATTGAGACGTACGTACATATAGTGTGTTATGCTGATGAACTATTCATTTCATTGTTAACTATATATGAAATTTAATTCAAATTTTATTGTCAATGGGAATAAAATCTGGTCGGATTAAGTGTGTATATGGTTTTTAGTCCCCTACCGACGAAGTCGAAGGGGACTTTAGGTTTGCACTCCTTCCGTCTGTCCGTCTGTCCATCTGTCCGTCTGTCCATCCGTCAGTCCGGCAAATCAGCTTTCCACCTTTTTTTTCTTCGTTCTTGAAGATATTGATTTGATATTTGGTATATAGTTTTATCATGACAAGTTGTAGATCAAGTTCGAATTTTGTTCCGGTCTGATGATTTAGTCCAGAGTTATGGACCATAACTCTGGACCATATCTAATGTTAGAGTACTATGTTAAACCATATTTCTGTACAAAGGGAGATAACTCATTTTTTTAAAGACATTTTTTGTTAAATTGTTTGAAGAATTTGTTGACAGGCTTGTTTGTTATTTAGTATAAACTAATTTTCTGAATGCTATATATATAAAAAAAAAATATGAAGAGAAATCCTTTAGTTAGATAATAATCTGTTTTTATTAATGTATATATTTCAATACATTACATTGTGTAGATAAAAGTTGTTGACATTTTATAGATAAGTTACAAATCTATATTAGTTTGTGACAAATGAAAGAAAAAAATATTTGGAACTATTAATTATATCTGATTATAATTTGAAATAGATATACACTGTATTACATCATATCTAATTCTAGAGAACTTTTAATCATATCTAATGTTTTTTTCATCATGCTTATAAGATATTGATTGATAATTGGTATATAGTTTTATCATGACAAGTTACAGATCAAGTTCAAATTTTTGTTTCGGTCTAATAATTTTGTGCAGAGTTATGGTCCTTGGACTTGAAAAATTCACTCATATAATCAGTTTTCAACACTGTTTTTAGTCGTGCTTGAAGATATTGACATGATATTTACTTTTTGTTTACACCATGACAAGTTATAGAACAAGTTAGCATTTTGTTCCAGTATAATGAATTTTTACCCGGTAGGGGACTATGTATTGTCATGCAATACTCTCAGAATGCTTGGTTTTGTTGTTATTAATGAATTTTGTTTTTGTGGGGGAAGGGGGGGGGGGGGGCAGACCTCTTTTAGTAGAATATTTTTCATTACATAGCATTTTTCTGATTCTTCTCCGCTGTCCAGTAGGTTTCTTACTCCGTTTTTTAATAAACAGCTGCGTCATGGGCGGATGATACACCCCTCGCGTTTTCAAAGAATAAAGTTCATTCTCTTGTAGTTGTGGCTTATTATCTATTTCTTGCATGAAAAGACATTTCTCGTTACACACTGCACGGAGTGTGATACGAAAAAATGATATGAAAATGTGCGTTAATTTGATTTGCTTATCAAGCACCATAAGACGATATTACGGCATTTCCATTGGCTATTCGTTAGGTCATTGATGACCTTCAAAGGTTACGACAATGTACATTTCGTGTGCAAAATACTAGACCAACGATTCGTGGAATTTTTAATTTAACACAATGAGAGTGTTGACCATAAGACAAATAGGTTGAACCACTTGTGAGAGTGGGATATCGCTTGATATCAACTCTCGTTATTTAATTCAAATAGTAATAATAAACTCGCCGAAATTAAATAACTCGAGTTGATATCAAGCGATATCCATTCTCACTCGTTATGAAACCTATAAATAATTGTCAAATAACTCGAATTGACCATAAGACAAATATGTTTAACAACTTGTGAGAGTAGGATATTGCTTGAATAGACATTTCTGGAATCACACTGCACCAAAGTTTCATGTAAATTGATTACAGCGTTTATGAGTTATTGTCCGACATGCTGACGACGGACGGACAGACGGATAACGGTATACCATAATACGTCCCGTATAAAAACTCCATGCAGGGTTCACCAAGAAAAATATTATTAACTGTGACAACAAAAGTACCATGAAATAGGTTGAAAAGATTATTATGAGTCCCCTGTACTATGATCTAAAGACCTTTTTATAAAGGATCCAATAATTTCAAATTTAATACTGGAAAGTTGTGGTAGAACGTTTCCGAACTGAAAAATTGCATTAAATTGAAAAAGGTTAATTTTGATCAACGTAGTTATATGTTTTGGTGATTTATTGAGAATATATGATATTTTCATTCATTAACTTACAGTTATAAACTAGAAAAGTCATTTTTAAAGTCAAGAATACCCTTTTTCCTTATTAAAATTTTCGTTAAAAAAACCCTGACCATTTGTTTAAAAACCCGGACGGTTTCACAGTTGCTCTCGAAAAAACACTGACAATATTAAAAACTGAATATTTTGTTAAATACAAGGAAATTGTGCATCTTTGTTGCTCAAAACATGTAGAGTATTCAAAATAAGATGGGTAGTCATGTAAAAAACTACATGTATTATAATTACGAAATAGCAGTTAATAGACCTGATCGCATGTATTATCACTCGAAAAAACCCGATCTACACTCGAAAAAAATGGCCCGATTCACTCGAAAAAACCATGATCCTAGCTGGACACTATACCTACCATGCATTAGTTCGACTACTTAGACCACCAGGCCACAGAGGTCCCTCAATCAAAATCAAACCCTGAGTACAGACAGAATCTTTCAAAATCAAATCCTTAGAAAATTGGTAAGTTATCTAATTAAAACCCTAAATAAACCTAAAAAATGTTAAAATTTAACCTAAGATAAACCTGTGACAGCTTGATGATGCTTATTAACATTTATCAATAGATATCATATATTGTTTAGCTCTCTGAGTTTAGACAGATCTCTCTATATTTCTTTTAATAGAGATAATTTTGTAATGTGTAGATAAATGTACAAATGCTACATAAAGTGTAGGGCAGCATGATTTCATATCAGCAGGGTTAAGTAATTTAAGCTTCCTTTCAGTTACTGTAAAAAAATAAGAAGAGCATTTAACTCTAAAATTAGGGAAAAACCTCTGTAAAACCAATAACAGACAGTATGATAGAGCCAGTCCATGCAGAAAGGTACAAAATCGAAAAATTTATGAAATTCTAAAAAAGTGTGCATAATAATTGCTAGCAGACCTCTGATCTATAAAACACTGTTACTTTTCCTCATATGATTAATATGTAAGCTATCCACACCTTTCAGTGCTTACAACCCCCCCCCCCCCCCCCCCCCCCCTTGCTTATCTTAGATTTTGCTCAATTATTTACTTTTTGTATTCATTTTTCCATGTATAGTTTAAGTGTCTTATTTTGCCATTTGATTATGTTCACCTGGTTAGCAGTGGGGATAAGGCTCTCGCTTACAAAGCAGAAATCAATGCAATTTAATAGGGACAGCGGTTCTAATCCCGTCCAAGGACGGTTGATTTATAAAATTTTAAATAACTTAACTTAAATTTAAATTTCAAAAACACAAAATGACATAATTTTTGCATTTTCCTGTACGTTTAACTGTTGTGTTCCTTTCTTTAGGCATAGGAAGAGATGATGAAAACTGCTGACTTTCTCTCCTTAGGGTCAAAAATGGTTTTATTTCGGCTCAGTATAGCATTGTTCTGGGGTTACAAATGATTTTTACAATTGCATAAGTACAAAACTTCAGATATTTCTACCGTTTTTTCCGTTTTAACTGACAAATTCGGGACAGAATTGACAATTTTATGTAAAGTACTTTGATAGTACACGAAAGGATGACAGGAATCTCCAAAAATATGAATGTTGATATTAATACCATTTTGTATGAATAAAATCGTTTTTAAACGAACGCAAAAATTTTTTATGGTCGTATATTGGTATCACGTTGTCGTCGTCGTCCGAAGACACTTGGTTTCCGGACAATAACTTTAGTATTAGTAAATAGAAATCTATGAAATTTAAACACAAGGTTTATAACCACAAAAGGAAGGTTGGGATTGATTTTGGGGGTTATGGTCCTAACCATTCAGGAATTCGGGGCCAAAAAAGGGGCCCAAATAAGCATCTTTCTAGTTTTCAGACAATAACTTGTGGAACTGTGTATGGATCTCTCTGAAATTGTACAACTAGTTTCCATACCACAAAGGGATGGTTAGGATTGGCTTTGGGGGGTAATGGCTCAAACCATTTAGGAGCTAGGGGCAAAAAAGGCGGTACAAACAAGGGTTTCCTTGTTAATGGTCAATCACTTTTAAGTACAATGTTAAATTTGGATTACCTCCCTTACACTGCTTTAAAATTATGTATAAAGAAATTTTGTATTGTCTTGAGGTTATTAGCTGTCAATTTATTTTTAGAAGTTACTAATAAAAATGCTGATTAAAGATATATTATTTTTAGACATGATTATATATGTCATTTTCTATTTTATGACCATATCTTGAAGGAAAGATTTTTTTTTTTGGAAAAAGGGGAGGGGGAGGGGAGGGGAAAAAAAATTGGGGCGGTTGGGGGGGGGTGGTAAAAAAGAAATTGGAGGGGGAGGACAAATCGCCAAAAAAAAAGGGTTGATTTTTTATTTTTTTGAGGGGGGGGGGGGGGGGGGTCAATTTGCAACAGCATAGTGTACTGCACAAAAGCAAAAAAAAAAGTGGGGTTAAATTTTTTCTTTAGGGGAGGGGGAGGCAATTCGCAACAGCATAGTGAATTGCACAAAAGCAAAAATTTGAACCAATTCTAAGTTCTTTGACTACAGTTGTTCTGTGTCAGAAACCTATTATGTGTCAAACATTTAATTTCAATCCAAATTCAGACATGTATCAAGCACAAATATTGTCGTATCCAGCTGCGCTCTGTGAAGCAATTTATTCAAAAATATTTTAACAAACTTTAACAACATGTCCTGTAAAGTTCATCTAAAACACTTTTTGTACCTTTTCGCATGGAGTGGATCATATCAAAGAATGCTTACAGTTTCAGTTTGTTGTTGTTTACCTTTGTTTATATGTCTTTTTATAATGGACTGTGTGGTTTGTTGTACTATTTAATATTTTTGGAGACTCCTGTTATCCTTTTTGTGTATTATCAAAGTACTAAATACATACAGATGTGTGGGTCCCTACGTCCCAAAATTGGTTTCCGTTCTCTAACTTGAGTTTGCCTCAACCAAATGTTATGAAACTTATACACAATGCTTATTACCACAAAACACAGATCAAGTTTGAATTTTGGTGGCGTCACTTTAACCGTTCTAGAGTTATGCCCCTTTATAAATGGAAAAATTGCAAAATTTTCATTTTCTTCTAAATATCAAGGAATTTTTAAAATTGGAGTTATCTTCCTTTGTCCATGATTATAGTTGAAACAACTACAATCAATGCTTTATACAATGCAATGTTTAATTTTGACTTCCACTGATAAAATACAGATCAAGTTGAATTTGGGTAGTGTCACTTTAACTATTATTGAGTTATGCCCCTTTATAAATCGAAAGATTGCAAAATTTTTAGTTTCCATTCTGTAACTTAAGTTTGCCCCAACCAAACATTATGAAACTTATACACAATATTCATTACCACAAAACTAAGATCAAGTACAAATTTTTTGTTTCGGTTTTCTAACTTTAGTTTGCCTCAACCAAATGTTATGAAACTTATACACAATGCTTATTACTACATAATACAGATTAATTACGAAATTTGGTGGTCGACACTTTTACCATTCTTGAGTTATGTCCCTTTATAAAAATAAAAATTGCTGAATTTTTAGTTTGTCTCAACCAAATGTTATAAAACTTATACACAACCGTTCTAGAGTTATGCGTGTTTTCAAATAGAAAAATTGCTGAATTTTTAGTTTCTGTTCTCTACTTAAGTTAGCCTCAACCAAATGTTATGAGACTTACACACAATGCTTATTACCACAAAACTCAGATCAAGTTCAAATTTGGGTAGCGTCACTTTTACCGTTCTTCAGTTATGTCCCTTTATAACTATATGATATGCAAGCGGGGGCATCATCTGTGTCCACATGTGGACACTATCCACATTTATTTTTTCATGTTTTTATGGCCTTACTGATAAAAAAGATGATTATGCAGATGGTGAAATGTTATTGATATAGCTAACATCCAGTGAATTGTAAAAGATGGAGTTTAGCTTTTCTCTCTTGTGTTGGATCACTGCCAACAAATAATTGTCCTTTTTTGTTTATTTCCATACTAAATGGTCTCAATATTTCTAATTCCTCTGTTTGAATAAATGTTATAACATGTCCACCATTGCTGAGAATGTGAAGTGCATTGTTCGAATTGTCACAAACTATAATGTTATTTTGAGATGTTGTCACAATGCTGCAAGGATCAAAATGTCCATATTTGTCAGGATTTATTTTTGTCTTACAATTATAGGTCCATTTCAAAACATGGTCCTGGTCTAATGCAATCACTCTGCCAAAATCCAAATGGGTTCTGTCAATAACATAGACATCCCCTTTGTTGTCAGATGTTATCCTGCGAGGTCTAATAAAAAGCCTAGAGCCATCTGAATTATATTCAATCACTTTCTCTGGTTCCTTCTTTTCATTGAGAATAACTAACTGGCGATGGCTTTTATCCGTTAATGCATATTGGCTTCCATCTTTTTCCACAGCACCCACAATAATCTTGCCATCATTTAATGCATGGAGAGAAAGAGGAACTTGGGACTTGGAGAGAATTTTTTTCTGAAATGTATAAAATGGTTTCATATCAAATGTTTCTGTGGCAATTTTTATGCAAGGATCATCAATAAAGGCAATAATTAAATCACCTGATTTTGTCAAAGCAAAATCAGCTAAATGTTCATTAAAATAACTTTTTTCATTTATTACGGGCAATTCTTGTCCTAAGTCGATCTTCTTTATGCAATTTGATGTTCCATCCTTTATCCAAATGGTGTCTCTTGGACCTTTAATAATCGAGCTGATTTTCTTAAAGTCTGTATCATGTGATTGCATCTGACGGAATTCAATGAAAGTACTGTCTGCTAGGGGTACTTTTTTTAATTCACAAATTGCTTTTTCACTTTGCTTTTGAAGAACTTTGGTTTCCATTGGTAACTCCACAAATGATATATCTGTGTTATAAATAAAGGCCGCTGTCTCTTTGTCAAAGAGGCACATTGTGCTTACATCATTGCTATTTTTAACTTTGTCTAGGATGGAAATCTTTTTAGTTAAATCCAAGATTTGTTCTTCTAAATGTGATTTATTCTCTTGAAATTTAAGCTGTACCTCATCCCAAAATTCTTCAAGTTCATTAGTAAGTTTATTGGTATATTGTGTAATTTCATCTTTCAGCCTTTCATCTTGTTTCTCGATATTTTTTTTTTCTTCAAGATAATGATATTTATGAAGACTTTGCAATTTGTTGACTTTCTTGTCCTCATTTGCCAAAAAAATCAGCATTTCGTTCTTAATTTTATCATAATGTTCTTCAAGTTTTGCCTTTTTCTGCCAGAAAACTTTTTCACTCTCCAAAATGACATGATTACCAGAACCATGAGACTGAGACAAGCATCTTGGGCATACGAGTTCATCACAAGTTAAACAGAAATTATAACAACTGTACTCTGGATGAACTTTGCACTTACTTATCCTCACAGTACCAGTAGATCCATCGTTAAAATAGAAAATGTCATGGCTTTGATCTCTCTTATGAATTTCTGTGCATTGATCACAGAACAACTTCTCACAGTCCAAGCACTTGCATGTCACTTTCAGACTTTTTTCACAAAGATCACATTTATTAGGAGCCTGTGCCATATCTAACATTAGTCACTTTAAACTGAAAAAATTATTCTTTGTTATTTCCTAATACATCGAGGTAAATGTATTATGTTTTATCTTTGAATTGGATGATAATAAGCTCAAAGTACATTGTGAAAACAGTTTATCTGTTATCACGACTTATGTCCCTGTGTTTATCTGTTTCATATACAGTACATTACAAGTCATTCTGTTATCATCTGAATGTACAATTATATATTTGAAGAATACAATTGGTCAAGCAAATGTTAAATATAGAATGAAAAAGGCTTTAGATAAAAGAATAGGTAGAACAGACCTCTAAATCGTGAAGGGAGAGGGGATAAAGCGCAAGGGTAGACTTTCTGTTTCTGGACTAATTTATACAAACAGTGTCATTCAGTCACTATAATTACAATAGTAGCTCAATTTATTATAAATGTGGTTTTATGCAATTCTGATGCACCCCTCCCTCCCCAATTGTAAAAATCTAATTACCTCTATAAGGAGACCAAAAAAGGCTCTGAATTAGATTTAAGAGTAGCCATGCTTGTCATTTGGTTAGAAGTATAATTTCACGGCAAAAACAAATTAAATTTTTTTCTTTTAGTATGAATCCCACATATTTTTGTACCAGTTCTTTTTCATTGGATTTAATGGAAAAAAAAACTCATCCTGATGCACATCTACCTAAAAAGACAAAGAACAAATTACCAAAGTGTTATTGTTTCCTATAATTTATCTATTTAGGCATTCAAGTATGAAGAAGATTACCAAGCAGCTGTAGATGGTTTCTCGATGGCATCAAAATTAGACCCAACATGGACAGAACCTGGAGAGCATGAGAAAAATCTTATGTCATATCTCACAAATCTTAGAGATCTGACAGAAAATAAGGTTAGACTTTATAATTACATATGGAAATTAAGAAATAGTTCTTTCATTCCATGCTCTATGCTCATTTAACATGGGTAACCATTATATTTGTCAATATCTTTATACGATGACATACAACGTATTTATGCACCTGTCCCAAGTCAGGAACCTCTAGCCTTTGTTAGTCTTGTGTGTTTTTTTTTTAATTTGAGTTTATTTATATGTTTTAGAGTTTAGTGTGGCATCAATTTCTCTGAACTAGAGTACATTATTATTAAGGGGCCAGCCTAAAGCCTGCCTCCAGGTTGGTGATTTTCTCGCTGTGTTGAAGACCCATTGGTGGTCTTGGGCTGTTTTTTGCTCTTTGGTCGGGTTTTTGTCTCTTTGACACATTCCCCTTTTCCATTCTCAATTGTTTATTGTATGTTTATAAGACAGTCGATCCAAATTGTTTCCAACTAAAAAAAACAAACTTTTTTTTTCCAACTGACTAACCCAATCATTGTTTCAATATAAAATCTGTAAACCAAATAATTCAAAACCCTGGCCTTCTTGGCCTTTTCATATATAAATAAAAATAATGATATGAAGTAAATTTCAGTGAGACAGTATTTGTTATGAATCATATTTTATTTTTCTTTCCAGGGAAAGATTAAAGACAAAAAGATAAAAGCCTTGGTTCAGACTATAAAGGATGTTGACTTAGGTCCTTATGACGGTGGAAAGTACACAGGGCCGTCAGGGAAGACCATTAATCTTGTAAGGTGTAAATTCTGTGACCTGAAACCACAGTTAAATGCAGAGAAAGTCATCTTAGGGAAAGTTGTGTGTACTGTTCAGTCATATGAACCTGTGCCATTGTAAGTAAATCTAATCTTAGGAATATTTGTGCTCAAATAATATTTAAATGAAATAGCACAAACAAAGGAACAAGTGTGTTAAAATACGTTATGATAAGACCACTTATTTGGCTCCTTGAATATGAAAATCAAAAGTATTATAAATCTATTAGAAAATATCCCTCAGTTGGTCACAGAAAAAGAGGATAATAGTCTGTCATATCCACTTTATATGCACCCGCCGTAGGCGACGGGGGCATAAAGTGTTACCCTTGTCCATCTGTCCTTCCGTCTTTCTGTCTGTCCCATTTTCGTTTCGCACTTTATGAAACTTATACACAATGCTAAGAACACAACACACAGACAGAGTTTGAATTTGGGCAGTGAGTTGTTACAGTTCTAAAGTTATGCCCCTTTAACACTTGGAAAATTGCAAATTTTTTTGTTTCTGCACTTTTACTTAAGTTTGTATCATGCAAATTTTATGAGACTCATACACAATGCTAAGAACCAAAACTAGCAGACAGAGTTTGAATTTGGGTTGTGAGTCGCTTACTGTTCTAGAGTTATGCCCCTTTATAACTTAGAAAATTGCAAAGGGTGCAATCAACAGTTTTTATACGACCGCAAAAAAATTTTGTGTTCGTATATTGGTATGACGTTGGTGTCGTCGTCGTCCGAAGACACATTGGTTTTCGCACTCTAACTATAGTTTAAGTGAATGGATCTCTTTCAAATTTTACCATAAGGTTCAATACCACAAAAGGAAGGTTGGGATTGATTTTGGGGGTTATGTTACCAACAGTTAAGGAAAAAGGGGCCAAAAATAAGCATTTTTTTAACTTCCAGACATTACTTGTGTGTTATAGTATGGATCTCTCTGACAATGTACCATAATGATCCATATCACAAAGGGAATGCGTGGATTGATTTTGGGGGTAATTGCCTCAAAATTTTAGGAATTAGGGGCCAAAAAGGGGCAAAAAACAAGCATTTTTCTAGTTTCATGACTAACTTGTGTGTAAGTGTATGGATCTTTCTGAAATTGTACTACAAGGTTCCATATCACAAAGGGAAAGCTGGAATTGAGTTTGGGGGTAATTGCCTAAAACGTTTAGAAATAAGATGCCAAAAAGGGGCCAAAAATAAGCATTTTTCTAGTTTCCAGACAATAACTTGTGTTCAAGTGTATGGATCTCTCTGAAATTGTACTGCAAGGTACCATACCACAAAGGGAAGGCTGGGATTGATTTTGGGGGTAATTGCCTCAAAATTTTAGGAATTAGGGGCCAAAAAGGGGCAAAAAACAAGCATTTTTCTAGTTTCAGGACAATAACTTGTGTGTAAGTGTATGGATCTTTATAAAATTGTATTACAAGGTTCCATATCACAAAGGGAAAGCTGGGTTTGAGTTTGGGGGTAATTGCCCCAAACATTTAGGAATTTTGGGCCAAAAAAACAAGCATTTTTCTAGTTTCCAGACAATAACTTGTGTTCAAGTGTATGGATCTCTCTGAAATTGTATTGCAAGGTACCATACCACAAAGGGAAGGCTAGGATTGAGTTTGGGGGTGATGAATCATAAGGGCGTTCAAAAAATTTGGGGGGAGGGATTTTTTTTTTTTCCTTTTTTTCCTTTTTTTTTCTTTAAAATTTTCCATTTTAAATTGGTTATTTTTGATTTATATATAAAAGCAAATAATAATGATATGGTTTGAATAGGTAAATTAAAAATTTATAAGTTCTTAAGCCACATTCATTCTGTGTCAGAAACCTATGCTGGGTCAAATATTTAATCACAATCCAAATTCAGTGTGTATCAAGCTTGAATGTTTTGTCCATACTTGCCCCAACTGTTCAGGGTTCGACCTCTGCGGTCGTATCAAGCTGCGCCTGGCGGAGCATTTTATTTTCTATGACGTCATATTTTAAGGAACCATGCCTAACTGACCCTTAGTGGTGGAATGGTTAATAAAGATACTTGTATAAAACTAGATATCACTGGAATCAGAATTTTCCCTAGTTTATATTAAAATAAAAATATAGTGTACTTTTAGTATAGTAAAAAAGTTCTATCCAGAGAAAATGGGGAAAAAGTTGCCTAATCTGAACATAAAAAGCTTGAAATCAGGTCATGTGCATACCCATGTAAATATGATACAGGCACATTTCCCATAATCAAAACTGTATGAAATTCATAGGTTTTTACCTGGCCTTTAATAAAAATCTTGTTTCAGGGTACGGTTTCCTGCTTCGAAAAGAGCTACAGTGGCTGCAAATAAGTTTTCAATTTTCACTGCCAAAAAAACAGGATGTTTACAGTGTTGTCTCCCCTCGAAACATGTATATTTAATCTAATTTTTAAAATCATTTTAATCATTCAGCCTGTTTAAATTGAAAGCTAATTAACTAATTTTTACAATCAAATACAAAAAACATATACTTTTTCACCAATTATATGAATAAAAAGGGATTTCCCTCCATGGTTATTTTTAGTCGGGGAATAACCCCTAGTTTTTTATACGAAACTGTTTATAGCACCCAAAGCTTGAGGGGGGGCATTCGTATCCTCAGACACATTCTTCTTTTATTATTTTAAAATTTTTATTTTTTTTATATTTGCTTTTGGTTTTCAAACTTGCGCACACAGCCATAACATGAATGACTCTTAGCTAATGTGTCTCTGTTGTACACAGCAGTCCAAGGCATAATATATTAATATATAATATAATAGAAATAACTTACTTCAGAAATAGATACATAGTGAAATGAAGGTTGCATTGTATACAAACAAAAAAGAAATTGTGGAATTTTAAAGAAGACTTCAGTTCCTAAAGCTTCAATTTTCATCATGTTCCTAGTTTTTTACAACACAACAATCAAAATAAAAGTATGTTTCTCATTCAATCATCATAGCAAATTTTTATGTTCTAATGATTTTAAATACAGAGATAAAAATTCAAAATCGTACAAATGGTAAATTATGTTGTATGAATTTATTTTGTTTATTACAGCTCCTTCTGTATGGTTGATGATGATGAACAGTGCTTACCTGTAAATGTATATAACTTATCACAAGGTAGTGGGGTCAAAATTGGGGATTCTGTATCCATACCAGAACCATATCTACAGACCATCAAAGTCGCCCATAAAGATGTGGTAGGTTTTAAATATACATCAATCAAAATTTGTTTTCATATCTCTTAACATGCAATTTTAATAATTTAAGATATTTTAATATGAATGTTTTGCAGGAGATTTATTAAGTGTGTCCTATTTTAGGATATATTTTTATTTTTATAACATATGACAAAAAAGGGAGGCAGAAGATACCTAAGGGATATTCAAAACACATAAGTCCAGATAAACTGACAACATCTTGGCAAAAAAACGAAAGATGAGGAAAAGACAAAGGTAAAAAAAACACTGCATATATAACTAAAGACTGAGCAACATGAACCCCACCTAAAATGGGGGTGATCTCAGGTGCTTCAGAAGGGTAAGCAGATCTTGCTTCACTAGTTGTACTGAACCTATATTTTTGGATCATATATGTTTCTACTATTGACAAAAACTGCATCTTACTGAACACTGTGTTATTTTGAGATTTATTTTTCAGTTCCAAATGTCTTAAAAACTTATCATACAAAATTATTAGGTTTTATCTAGTCATTTATATTAAGGTATAAACCTCCCCACTAGTAATGAATTTTGACTTTTATTTTCAGAATTTAAACTTCAAGAGTATAAGAGTAAATTCACCATTAGTATTAGTTGTAAATGGGAAGAAACTTGGAATAGACAAGCAGGCACCATCAGTGTTAGCAGTCAGTGCTGTTAGCCAATGATTGGAAAGAACACAAACCTTGTTGAAGATGTTAGCCAATGAGTGAACTGAATACAAAAATATGTTGGTGCTGTTGGCCAATGAATGTGAAAAATACTGTAATCAAGGACCATAAAGTGCTGTGTATAGCATGTCTGTGATACAGTTTCAGATCTGAAACTTTTTTGTTTTGTTTTACTGAAGAGATTTATTGACACACAAATTTATTGAATATAAGTAAAAATCAGATGCACATATTGTAAAAATATAATTGAAGAACAAGAACTATTGATACAATATATAATATAATAATGAAAACTAATCCTGCAATTTAGCCTTATTGTGCTGAGGCGGCGTAAGCAAACACCAATCAATCAATCAATCTTTATTTGAAAGAATAAAGTTGTTAAGGATTTATTCTTGGTGCAATATGTCATAAATATTAATATTTGCATAATATATTGTCTAAAATATATCTCATTTCATTTCCATAATAATTAAGTTCAAGTAAACTAATTCCTTTTCATAAGGGAAGGAAAGTAACTGGCGTTAAGAGGGTGTATTTTGCTTTTAAGTAATTGGTGTTTTTATTTCCAACTCCAAAAAATATTAATATATATTTGAATATTATAAATATTTGTTTTAGAGCTATTTTCCTAATGCTTGTAGTTTAAAGGTTTGGTTGGCTTGCTTGCTTTGTTTGTATTTATAAAAGTATAATGTATACAAGCCAAAGCCTCTCCTATCTATTGATTGCAGATGTCAATCTTAATTACAATGCTTGAGCAAACATTTATACAAACAATGCAAGCAAGCCAACCAACCGTTTAAACTACAAGCATTAGGAAAATAGCTCTAAATCTAGAGGAGTGGTTGCTTTGTCTATATTATTGTTACCCTAATTTATATTGTATTTTTTCTGTCAATATCATACCATATGTGAATGAAAATAATTGTCATTTCAAGACTTTTTCATGAAATCTTCATACATATGTATTTCAAAATAAATTATTTTGCTGGAATTGTCATTTCTGCTTAAACTAAGTTGTACATTATTGATGAACTGAATCAGTATTGATTTCATAGAAGTTCTGATTTGTGATTCGTAATTTATTAAGTTTCACTTACTGGTTTTTGACATTCTGATTGATTATACTTCATTCATGTTGACATGACGCAAAGTTCTGAATGATCACACTGAACCAGTGTTGATATGACACAAAGATCAGATTGATCAAACTGAACCAGTGTTGATATGCCACAAAGTTCTGACTGCTGATACTGAATCAGTGTTGACATGACACAAAGTTATGGCTGCTGATAATGAATCAGTGTTGACATGACACAAAGTTCTGACTGTTGATACTGAACCAGTGTTGATATGACACAAAGTTCTGATTGATGATACTGAACCAGTGTTGATATGACACAAAGTTCTGATTGGTGATACTGAATAATGACTGACGTTACACAATGATTATTCATAAGACAAACAACTCAACAATTTGAGATAAAAAAGAGCTTGAATACTAACCTTACATGAACATATTCCAATAATAGAAGTATAGTCATGGCAGTCATCTTGCATTTCAGATTGCCACTTACATCATTAGTTATACATAGCTTATGGCAGGTTGAACTAAGGTCTCACCTGACTTGCAATACACCCTCTAATGTTGGGCAACAACAATGCCTATTATTGTAAACATTTTATACATCTCTGAAATATGAAGCTATGTACAAACAGCTTGCACTGTTGAGGCCAGATAAGTATCCTCTCATGTCAGTGACATTTGTAATAGGTAGGAAAAATAAACAGAACGAGCAAGTGACATTTTAAAATAGTACAATTGGTTTATCATACATATCTCCTCATAGTAAAAAGAAAAATAACAAAAATACCATGGAAAATTCAAAATGGAAAGTGTAAACTTACTAAATTGTTTAGTTTGTATAATGCAGGTGAATTTATCCATGGTCATCATGCTGCTGAAAATATACTTTGGATTTTTATACGACCGCAAAAAAAATTTTGTGGTCGTATATTGGTATGACGTTTGCGGCGTTGTCGTCGTCCGGCATCGTCGTCGTCCAAAGACACATTGGTTTTCGCACTCTAACTTTAGTTTAAGTGAATGGATCTCTATGAAATTTTACCACAAGGTTCAATACCACAAAAGGAAGGTGGGGATTGATTTTGGGGGTTATGGTACCAACAGTTAAGGAATAAGGGGCAAAAAAGGGGCCAAAAATAAGCATTTTTGTAACTTCCAGACATAACTTGTGTGTTAGTGTATGGATCTCTCTGACATTGTACCACAAGGTTCCATATCACAAAGGGAATGCTGGGATTGATTTTGGGGGTAATTGCCTCAAAATTTTTGGAATTAGGGGCCAAAAAGGGGCAAAAAACAAGCATTTTTCTAGTTTCATGACAATAACTTGTGTGTAAGCTTATGGATCTCTCCGACATTGTACCACAAGGTTCCATATCACAAAGGGAATGCTGGGATTGATTTTGGGGGTAATTGCCTCCAAATTTTAGGAATAAGGGGCCGAAAAGGGGCAAAAAACAAGCATTTTTCTAGTTTCATGACAATACCTTGTGTGTAAGCGTATGGATCTCTCTGACATTGTACCACAAGGTTCCATATCACAAAGGGAATGCTGGGATTGATTTTGGGGGTAATTGCCTCAAAATTTTAGGAATTAGGGGCCAAAAAGGGGCAAAAAACAAGCATTTTTCTAGTATAATGACAATAACTTGTGTGTAAGTGTATGGATCTTTATGAAATTGTACTACAAGGTTCCATATCACAAAGGGAAAGCTGGAATTGAGTTTGGGGGTAATTGCCCTAAACTTTTAGGAATTTGGGGCCAAAAAGGGGCCAAAAAACAAGCATTTTTCTAGTTTCCAGACAATAACTTGTGTTTAAGTGTATGGATCTCTCTGAAATTGAACTGCAAGGTACCATACCACAAAGGGAAGGCTGGGATTGAGTTTGGGAGTGATGAATCATAAGGGGTTCAAAAAATTTGGGGGGGGGGGGGGGGATTTTTTTTTCTTTTTTTTTCTTTAAAATTTTCCATTTTAAATTGGTTATTTCTGATTTATATATAAAAGCAAATAATAATGATATGGTTTGAATAGGTAAATTAAAATTTTTAAGTTCTTAGACAACATTTATTCTGTGTCAGAAAACTATGCTGTGTCAAATATTTAATTACAATCCAAATTCAGTGCTGTATCAAGCTTGAATGTTGTGTCCATACTTGCCCCAACTGTTCAGGGTTCGACCTCTGCGGTCGTATCAAGCTGCGCCCCAGCGGAGCATTTTATTACATTTTTGTTGGTACCAATTTTAGTGGACTGGGGAAAACTCTATTTTCATGGTTTTAACAGATTCTTAAACAAGCTTATAGGATGTTTTCATTTTGTTGAATTTAAAAATATGTAGTTGTGTGCCCACAACATCCACAAATTTGAGTACTCCACCAATAATGATGAATCCACAGTTTGAGTACTCCACCAATACAGGAATTCACAGTTTGAGTACTCCACCAATACACGAATCCACAGTTTGAGTACTCCACCAATACACGAATCCAGTTTGAGTACTCCACCAATACACGAATCCAGTTTGAGTACTCCACCATTAATAATAAATCCACAGTATACAAGGTTTGGTAAAGAGCACTGATGCTCTGATAAGATGCTAGGCCATACATTTGTCCTCGGACCTTGGACATTAAATTTTTTTTTATAGACCTGATCACTATTATGCAACACTTACATGTTCCTTTATACAGTTATACAGGGGTCACTTTAGCAATATTTATGTGCTGGCTTACATTTTCTCTCATATTTTTTTTTACAAGAACATCTCTTATGTCCTGTAATGGCAGACAAATAACAATTAGGTGCACTAAGTTAATTGATTATTGACACCTATCATTTTGTCGGCATCACATCCACAAGGCTGGTAATAATCAGACATTTTTGTTACAAATGGAGGAACAAACAGTACTGTTACCAAATCCACTTCCAGAACATCTTTTGCAAAACATTTTCAGTCTTAAAACAATAATGCTTGTGACCACTGAATGATAAATATTTCTTTCATTTTGCAATGTGAACTTAAAATTAAACATTGAATTGCAATAGAACACATTTATTTTGGAGTTCTCTTCCTTTGTCCATTATTGTTGCTATGATTCTTCTATAAATCACATTGTAAAACAGTCAATTCATCAGTGTGGTCAATCACAACCCCCTCCCCCTTGTTGCAGAATTTTTTTTTGTAGACTAAAACTTTTTTTTTCTGTAATGGCAGACAAACTAAAAATTAATGTGTACTTCGCAAAATTTTTATATAAATTCTTTCATATTAATACATTGTAAAAATTCAGTAAGTAGAAAGTGCTGATCTTGAAAATGGTTGCTTAGTGTTTCCTCCAACAGAATTGTATCATAGCAGCAATAAAATATAGCATATACACAAGTCAACCATTTCTTTTAGCACAACTATCTTTATCAGTTCTATAGTACAACTCTGTTGGAGAAAATAGCCACCAGTCAACTGTTTTATTTGCCAACACCTTCATTATACTGATATTATTTTTGACATGATCATTACAACTTAAAGCAACAAAGACAATAAAATAATTCACTGATTTTATGTTTAGAAAAAAAAATTACCCTATTCTTTTTTATTTAAATTTTTCAAAGCTGTTGAACAAGCCTGGAATAGCATGATTTCTTTTATAAATTAAGGAGATTTGTAGTCTTTTGCAGAAAATCAGTGAACTTTTTATGACTTAACAAAATCAACAAATAAATACATTATAACTTGTATTTACAATAACAAATACACAGAACTTTTATATAGTCTAACAATATCAATTTCTCGGTGAAAGTAAGTCTATGACAGGACAATACAGTATACCTATCTCAGGGTTTTTAACAACAGGTTTTGATCATAATTAGGGCTTTAGAAGGGGAAGTTAAATCTTTTCTCTATTCATTTTATGCAAATTCTTGGCTATACACAGTGCATGGTGCAATGATGGAAGTAAAATGCCTACCACAAAAGACAAAACATAGCAAAAAAAAGACACAAATGACAAATTGTCCTACATATGGTACTTGATTTTCATCAGATGTGATATACTGTAAGTAAAGTATACACCAAGAGTTTACCATTGGATTTAAGTGGTTGCTGCATAGTAACAACTTTTATATTATGTGCATTTAAAATAAAACAAAGTTAAAATCAGTGTCAAAGAGACAATTATGTGAGATTTTATGACCCATAAACATTGATGCAATTTTCTGAAATACATAAAGCTCATCTCAAATCATTAAAGTTGTTATCAATGTTGTATTAAACTAACCATCCACTAAGAAGCATGATAAACACCTTTATTCACTGTAGGCAAATCTTTTCTACAAAGAGAGGTAAAAAAAAAGCCTATTCCTATTTGAATTGCTTAAAATTGATTCTTTTGACTTTAAAAAGAATGCCCCAATACAGTTTTCATGGGTATCAATTTTTGTGGATTTAGAAAATATTGTATATTCGTGGAAACTAAAATTCATGATTTTAACAAATTCCTCATAAAATCCAATATTAAAATTGTATTTTTCTTTATACTTAACTATTTGGTTCACCTAAACCCATGAAATCCACAAACATTTGTATGTCATGAATAATAACTAGATATCATTGAGATGGGAGCCATCTCTGTGGGCCCCACTGTGAATAATGTGTGGTAAAAAATTTGTATCTTTATCATTGGACATGGGGTTGTCAACTAAAACCAAAGTTTTTGACCTTGACCTTTGACCTAGGAAGTTGAACATACATTATGACACACCCTCTGGTGTTGGTTAATATACATGTCAAGTATAAACTTTGAAATCATAACGGTTCTCTAGATATAGAGCGGACACGATTTGTTACGGACGGACAGACGGACGGACAGACAGACGGACAGAAGGACTGGCAGACGGACGAACAGACTGATCACTATAGGGCGGATGCCATTTGGAGGGGCCCTAATGAATCCTCAGTAATTACCATTCATAAAACAACAATTTGTATTTCACATTATTATAATCTTTACAAACTTAACTTGATCTTTCATCCAAAAACATTTTTTTTACAATGAATAGACATTAAATTCCATTTATTTAAAATATAAAATAAAAATAAACTTCTTTAGTGTCTTAAGTATTTCTCTATTTTATCAGTACCAATTTTCACAGGTTAAGAAATTTGCAGCGTATTTTTCATTATTTAAATTCACTGTTTGCCTCATTCCATTAAAATTATTGGAGTATTGGATCAATATGATTTAATAGTGACAAGTATCACAGCATAATTTGGTTTGGAATATCCAAATCTAAAATGTGGAGACAAACATCTTCTTTTAAACAAGTGTTTTCTGACGTCCAGAGCAGAATTTTCTCAGATTCTTCTCCCTACTTGTTAGATCTCTTATCTCTGTTGATATCTCAGTTTAACACGTTATATAACTTGCTATGACTTTGCCTTCATTTTAATACCTTCCACAATATTATCAATTTTAGATTGATTAAATGCATGTCCTTTGCCAACACGTTTGTTATATGTGTAATCTTCTCCTGGCTTTTGTAGTTTTGTTGGATCATAAGTATATGTCTTTTGTATAGGTCCTTTACCAGCTTCCTTGAATCTTAACGCATCAGCTCTTTGTCTATCTTCTATTTGTTTTACTATTTTATTACTTTCCCAACCTACAATAGAAGCAATGGAAACTGTAAACAAATATCATAATCTAATTAGATAAACAAATTATGAACATACACTTCGCTAAAGAAAAAAGAAAAAAAAAACTTCATTTTCTTTAACTACTGAATTAAATGTTACCCAATAATTGAAGTACTGAAGACTATATATGCACTACATGTATGCCTTTATACATATCCATTTCTCATAATTTTAAGGTAACATGTTTAAAGTATTTCATGAAAAAGACCCCAAAAATGCATAAGTTTGCTGAGCTTGTGTTTGTAAATGAGAAAATATAAATAATATACCAGAATATGTCTCTGAGAAACAAACTTAAAATCACAATTTTACTGAAATCACTGATGAAACAAAAGGAAATCATACTTCAAATATGTGAAGTGGTGAAATATCATAACTACTGTAAATTCAGAAATTATTGCAATGTTTTTATTATTGCGAATAATGGGACTGGGTGAGTATCGCAATAACAAGAACTCACAGTCTGAAATCTGACACATATATTTGTTATCAGCTTTTCCAGTAATCACAATAATTATTCTTGCACTTTGGTCTGTCATGGCGAAATCGCAATAATAAATGCATGCAATAATTTCTGAATTTACAGTATACCAAAATGGGTTATGTAAACACAAAAATTAATATTCATACTTGTGTCCTAAATGTGATGGTACCGTGTGAAACTAATTGTTTAGAAACAAGAGTGCACACGCTGAAATGTCTCGCCTTCTTTACTAATCATTGATATTATGTTGATAGTCCTAAATATAAAGCTTTATTACAACTGTCACATAAACTTAACATTAACCAAGAAAACTAAACATTGACCAATGAACCATGAAAATGAGGTCAAGGTCAGATGAACCAAGCCAGGCAGACATGTACAGTTAACAATTCTTCCATATAACAAATATAGTTGACCTATTGCTTATAGTTTAAGAAAAACAGACCAAAACACAAAAATTTAACACTGAGCAATGAACCTTGAAAATGAGGTCAAGGTCATATAAAACCTGCGGGACTGACATATAGATCATAAAATATTTCCATACACCAAATATAGTTGACCTATTGCATATAGTATTAGAAAAAAAGACCAAAACTCAAAAAACTTAACTTTGACCACTGAACCATGAAAACGAGGTCAAGGTCAGATGACACCTGCCAGCTAGACATGTACACCTTACAATCATTCCATACACCAAATATAGTAGACCTGTTGCATACAGTATAAGAAAAACAGACCAAAACACAAAAACTTAACTATAACAACTGAACCATGAAAATGAGGTCAAGGTCAGATGACACCTGCCAGTTGGACATGTACACCTTACAGTCCTTCCATACACCGAATATACTAGACCTATTGCTTATAGTATCTGAGATATGGACTTGACCACCAAAACTTAACCTTGTTCACTGATCCATGAAATGAGGTGAGGTCAAGTGAAAACTGTCTGACGGGCATGAGGACCTTGCAAGGTACGCACATACCAAATATAGTTATCCTACTACTTATAATAAGAGAGAATTTAACATTACAAAAAATGTTAACTTTTTTTTCATGTAGTCACTGAACCATGAAAATGAGGTCAAAGACATTGGACATGTGACTGACGGAAACTTCGTAACATGAGGCATCCATATACAAAGTATGAAGCATCCAGGTCTTCCACCTTCTAAAATATAAAGCTTTTAAGAAGTTAGCTAACACCGCCGCCGGATCACTATCCCTATGTTGAGCTTTCTGCGACAAAAGTCGCAGGCTCGACAAAAAATAATAGTTAAATGTTGATGTACAACAATAAGTTTTGCATGAATGGACCAAAATGTAGCACTTTAACAAGTTTCTCAAGCATAAATTGCATGTTAGAGTAACTCAAATGTTCCAGAAATGTATTGCACTATACAATTGAGCTGTTGTAGTGGTGATATATCACTGCCTTACCACAACTAGTATCAGATATTCACCTTTAGCGTAATGTCATTGAATTTGCATGTAAAATGTTGGAAGCATTGATTGAAAAGCAAATATTTTACACAGCCATGCATCAAATTTTGATTATTTCCATTAATTGTTCTGACAGGCCATCTTTTTTAGATAATCACCATCTTTCAAATTATAGCAGAAGTTTTTCCGAAAGCCCACATCTATCACCCCCTTACAATAAATTCTGGAACAGCTCATAATAATTTCAGGCAGATAAGATAAGATTTCAGACAAATAAAAGGGGTAACTTTTTTGTTTTTATGAATGCTATGCATAGGTTATAAAGGATATTTAGTTTACTCCACTCAGTATTAATTGTTGATATTTGACTATATGATTAACACTGGCAACACTCACTGTCTTTAAATCCTTGAGAAAAACTTGGCTTCTTCTTTTTAGGTTGAGGATGAATAACCATTTCAGGAATTTTAAGGAACTGTCTCACAGCAGGTATTTTAAAAAACAAAACTTGAACCAATGAGAAAGTATTTGAAGTAAACCAGTAACAGCACATGGCCTGAAAAGATAGAATTATTGTACATGAAAAAAAACATACAAAATAAAATCTGATAAGCTTCACAATATGTAAATCAATTTTTACTTGATCATTAACTACCTGATCTTTCATATTGTGTAAAAATGTCACATTCTGATTCAATGAAAATACTATTAAATTAATGGTAAATAATGACAAATTGAATGTTGACCACTAAACTTTTGTTACAACTTTAATATGTCAATAAACTTGACTGTTTCATTGTCTATTTGTTGCTGGCGTAACATATAAAGGTTATACTCACTGTTGGAAAATTACAAACAAACAATAAACCGAGTACAGGCATCAATCTCATTCCCCATTTCATCACATGTTTTTGTTGGTTTGCTGCCACTCCATCAGCTCCAACCTGTTTAAAAAAACAACTGTTATGACACAACAAAAACCATTTTCAATATTATTCTATAATAGTTTTACATGGTTATAATCTTTAAAGCAATTATTTACCCCTCTGTACAAAATAAAACAAATTTTAACATAACAAATGTGTAGTTCCATGGAACCATGCCTCTAGCCTCTTTTGTCTTTTGATCATAAAATAAAAGTTTTGCTGAGCGCAGCTGGATATGACCGCAAAGGTCCAACCCTGAACAGTTGGGGCGAAAATGGACACAATATTCGCGCTTGATACAGGTCTGAATTTGGATTGTAATTAAATATTTGACACATAATAGGTTTCTGACACCGAATAACTGTAGTCAAATAACTTAGAATTGGTTATATGATTTGAATTTATATTCAATTATTTGCTTTTGTGCAATACACTATGCTGTTTTGAATTGACCCCCCCCCCAAACAAACAAAAAAAATTTACCCCCTTTATTTTTGCTTTTGTGAAATACACTATGCTGTTGTGTATTGACCCCCCCCCCTTTTTTTTACAAAAAAAAAAATATTTGAAGAAATTTTCTTTTTAATTTCTGAAATCTGAAACCATAATTACCAATTTAAATACATCATAAAAGTCTTAAATAAATAATTTAAAAGCAGTGTAAGGGAGGTAATCCAACATTGTACAACATTGTACAATTTTGTTTTTGGATTACCTCCCTTACACTGCTTTTAAATTGTCCATTAACCAGGAAACCCTTGTTTTTTCCACTTTTTTGCCCCTAATTCCTAAACAGTTTGAGCCATAACCCCCAAAAGCCAATCCTAACCATCCCTTTGTGGTATGGAAACTTGTGGTATAATTTCAGAGAGATCCATACACTTAAACACAAGTTATTGTCTGGAAGTTACAAAAATGTTTTTTTTTTCTCCCCTTTTTGGCCCCTAATTCCTTAACTGTTGGTACCATAACCCCCAAAATCAATCCCAACCTTCCTTTTGTGGTATTGAACCTTATGGTAAAATTTCATAGAGATCCATTAACTTAAACTAAAGTTATTGTGTGAAAAGCAATGTGTCTGCGGACGACGACGACGACGCCAACGTCATACCAATATACGACCGCAAAAAACTTATGGTCAAGTTTCATACAATTACATGAAAGTTTGAAAAAGTTATTGATGTTAAAAAAATAACGACTATGAAATATAGGATTCTATGTCTCCCTTCCACGAAAAAATATTTGCAGGCTCAACAAAAATCAACTATGGTCGTTCTTATCTCATTAATAATTATTGAGACTTCAATATTTATCCAATAATAATACCCTTTATCCCTCATAATGGAGAATTTCTATCTTTGTATTTAATCAGAATTTTATATCTAACTTTGATACAAAATGTCCCTTGATCTGACAAGTATAAATCATGTGAGAATAAATGTTTAAAAGGTTTTAAAACTACAACTACACCATCTAAATCCATTACAATAAATTGTTTTAAATCAAATCATTAATCTTCACACATATACCTCTACAGTTATTGACAAGGTAGCCATTGTTAATACTGGCAATAAAAATATCGGGTCTGGTACAGTCAAATCTTTAAACCATAACACGCCACCAGTTGCTAAACTTTCCACAGGAAGATGTGCCATGCCTCTTAATCCTGTAAACCATGACAAAAACACTGGCAACTGAAAATAACAAGAACATAGTATCAATCTTAATCCTGTAAACCATGACAAAAACACTGGCAATTGAAAATAACAAGAACATAGTATCAATATCAGTAAAAACAAAATTATTTCATCATCTAACATGTAAGTGATGACATGCAACTCAAGCTGGGATTTTTTTTTTATCAATATTTGGTTGAAAACATATCTTTTGGGGGATTTTTTTTTATAATTGTTCATCCCCTTGAGATGGCCACTTGCTGCAAGACTAGTAGTAATTACTCAACATATACAAAGAAATTAGGTATTGACCAAGTTACTTACTATATCATGTTAATAACTTAATTGCCTGGGACAATCTTCCTAATAAAATTTAAATCAATTTCTGTATATTAGCAAACTGATATTTTCTGATACTTGTCAGTTGAAAAGTAATGCATTTTGCACTGAACTCAAGTTAATGTTGCTCCCCCCCCCCCCCCCCCCCCCCCCCCCCCCATCCATACTTAATATCTTAATATGCAAATATCAGGATTATGTAGTTAGTGGGCATTCAATTAAGTTGAGACTCCTGTAATATTAAGCATATAAAATTTCCCTGTTTTTAGAGTCATCAAATAACTATATATATTCTTTCCAGGTAATTTCACATACCTGTGCCATTGGCATCATCATATTTCTAAATAGTTTGATGTCATGTTTCTGGTAGTATTCCATTAATTCTGAACCATACCGTGCAGCTGGAAAAGATGTTGAACTTTATAGTATTTTTTTGTACTTTTGAGTAATGCAGATCAAACTTAATAAGGTTAAGATCATAGAAAAAAACTACAATATTAACAACTTGGGTGTTACTTATATTTAAAGTTAAAACTGCTCAAATAACAGCCAATATTTTTTCATATCTATGAGAAAGTAGCAAACAGTTTTCCTAGTGTAAGATAAACATAACATTAGAATTGCTTTGAATTGCTTACATTTTAAAGACTTAATTTACAGCAATGTTTAATAATATAACAAGAAGACACATACAGGCATCATGGGTATTGCATTTTAAATAAAAGAATATGTTCGATAAAGAATTGAATTAAAAAGTTTTAATTTTTCAAATCTGAATTATCGATAGCCTTTACTAAAAGGGACTAAGCAATGAAATAAATCATCTGAATTCAATCAATATAGTATCCTGTCAGACTTGAACACAGATTAAAGTGATAAGTGATCATCACCTGATATCAGTAAACAGTTACTTGGAGGGCCATGTGGATTATAATAAAATAATTACTGACAGTTTTATAACCTTAATCTGTCAAGACCGGCCAATAAGACTATTTCCTGACCCTTGATACATACTTCCTACTAGATCTCCCCTGAGTCTGCACTCTGACATTCTTTCTTGTAGTCTTGCCAACTCTGGCATGTGGTTGTTCATCTTTATAATGTGTCTCCTTGATATGACAGCAATGGGGAGCATCATAAGTCTGACAATCACTGTGGCTGTAAAAGATGTATTAATCAAACCAATGCTGAATTAAGACAGATATCAAAATAATCATACAATCAATACAACATTTTTCTACTCTGAATACCCGGTAGTAAACTATTTGAATATCTAGTTACTAAAAATGAAAAATAGTTATATCTAATGGAAAGCAGTGTAAGAATATATTTCTCTGTATAATTTTTAGTGGTCATACATGTATATCTACTATTTTTTTCTGGAAATAAGGACACTTTTCAAAAGTGTTCAAAAAATGAACTGGCAATTCCACTACCTTCTATTCCTCATCAGCAGTAAAAAAAATATAATAAATTTGGTTGAGTATCAGAGAATTGCCACCTTCTTTTGACAGTTGAGCTGACTACTTCAAATCTTTTTAAGAACCACCTGTTTTGTTTTCAAGTAAAATCATGTGACATTTCCAGTTTCCTATTATTGAGTTTTGTTTCTTTAAAGATACAACTTTATATAAAAATGATACAACATAGAATTGTTCAATATTAATGATTACATTATAATAATTTTCATGTGCCATTAAAATATCAAATTATGAACTCTGCAAGTAAATTTAATGTACAAACTGCATTTCCTCGAATGAAAAGCAAACAAGGTTTAAAAAAAAACATATAGAAATAAGTTTTAAAAAAAAATCTGTTTACCAAGTGCAATAGCTCCCCACCATGGCATTCCTATGTCAACATGCAATGCTTCTAATGCCATCTGTACAACACCAGCTGGTGTATAGTTGTTTAAACCAAGACTGGCAAACGTTGGTTCACCCAGAGCATTAAGTGTATCAGCAATGTCTAACGATTCAGGGGCAGGTAATGGTGGCGGTGGTATATAATCCACTGTTTCTGCAAATTTCTGAAAAAAAAAAGAAGGACAAAACATTTTAGATAAATAACATGATTGAAAAATTCTGTCACAATGTTCAAACTGCCAGACACACTGTTTGTCATCAAAAGATTGAAATCTGGTCATTCACAAGGTTTGAATTCGCCTAAATATATCCTAGCATATATATATGAATCTTCTTAGAAATCTTTAATTTTCACTGGTCCGTAAATAATAATATTCAACATTATCTAACTTTGTTTTACTCCTCAAATGAAATTACGATAAATGGGGAATGTGTCCATGGGACACAGATGCATGGACACAGATGATGCCCCGCATGCTTATAACATTATAAAGGGACATAACTCAAGAACAATAAAAGTGACACTACCCAAATGTGTACTTGATCTGAGTTTTGTGGTAATAAGCATTGTGTATAAGTTTCATAACATTTGGTTGAGGCAAACTAAAGTTAGAGAACAAAAACAAGAGATTCAGCAATTTTTCCATTTGTAAACAGGCATAACTCTAGAATGGTAAAAGTGACGCTACCCAAATTCAAACTTGATCTTTGTTTTGTGGTAATAAGCATTGTGTAACATTTGGTTGAGGCAAACTAAAGTTAAAGAACAGAAATGAAAAATTTAGCAATTTTTCCATTTGTAAAGGGCATAACTGTAGAACGGTAAAAGTGACGCCACCAAAATTCAAACTTGATCTAACACAGGAATTTTGGTGGCGTCACTTTTACCGTTCTACAGTTATGCCCCTTTACAAATGGAAAAATTGCTGAATTTTTCATTTCCGTTCTAACAATTTTGTGGTAATAAGCATTGTGTATAAGTTTCATAACATTTGGTTGAGGCAAACTAAAGTTAGAGAATGGAAACCAATTTTGGGACGTACGTACAAGGGTAAAACTTAATGCCCCCTCCCCTATGACGAGGGCATAAAAATAAATGAATTATTGCCTACAAATTGTCAACCTCAGTTCTATCTTTTGGACAATGGATTTATGTAACAAAGTAATATTTTAATCAAAGAAGAACTATAAAATTTGTTTTACAATTTTGTCACTTAAAGTTTACATTTAATTAGTTTGGTTTCCCAAAAAGAAATAAAACCAATATTAGACCAGAAGTAATTTTCTATAGGAAGATATTCTTATTTAATATAAAATAAATGTTTACTTTGCATGTGCTGATTGATAATCATTTATAAACAAAACTAGCCAATTAATTCTCTATAGATACAAACTGTGGGCCATGAGTGCTCTTTTTAATTTTTGGCAAATTACAACTCATTGTGCTAAATCTAGTGGTTGAAAATCAAATACAGGAAGAAACTAGAATATGAACTCTAAAACAACTTACTGTTGCATTATCTGTACTGTTAAATCTCTGTATTAAAACTGCACAAATGTGTGGTGTCTTTGCCCTCCATATAACTGGTAGCCTGGAATGGCTATTTGATGACAATAAATGGTGACAACGAATTTGGCAGGACTGAAAGATAAACAAATCAATAATTAAACTTGCCACAATATTAATTCTGTCTGCACTGAATAAGTTCAAATTATTTTTTCTATGAATAATATGGATTCATTAATATTCGTTGGATACCAATTTTTGTATGGATTTCATGGTTAATAATAAACCACGAATCTAAATGTTCAACAAATAACAAATTATCTAAAGGTTTGTACGCAGTCTTTTGCAAAACACAAAATCAAAATATCACGACAACAATTGTTCCTCAGTCCATGATAATTGGTACCAACGAAAATAAATAAATCCACAGTATCAAATACTATATGGAACATACATGTACGTCTGATAGCACAAGTCAAAATTAAACATATGTATTTGATAGTTATCTTTCCACTTTCAACACTCAAAACTAAGAGGTTCTAGAGCATATGTCGCTCACCTGGATCTATGTGCATCTGCAATAATGACTACTCTCCAACATGGTAGACAAGAATATAATTCATGACTAAAACCTCTTTTATGTTGAGCGTGTCTTGTTGGTCATTTTTACGGTTTTTAATACAGTATCTCTCCATCTTCTAAATTTTAGCCCAAAATGAATAAAATGCTCCGCTGGGCGCAGCTTGATACGACCACAGTGGTCGAACCCTGAACAGCTGTGGCAAGTATGGACACAACATTCAAGCTTGATACAGCACTGAATTTGGATTGTGATTAAATATATGACACAGCATAGCATAGGTTTCTGACACAGAATGAATGTGGTCTAAGAACTTAAAAAATTTTAATTTACCTATTCAAACCATATCATTATTATTTGCTTTTATATATAAATCAGAAATAACCAATTTAAAATGGAAAATTTTAAAGAAAAGAAAAATCCCTCCCCCAAATTTTTTGAACCCCCTTATGATTCATCACCCCAAACTCAATCACAGCCTTCCCTTTGTGGTATGGTACCTTGCAGTACAATTTCAGAGAGATTCATACACTTGAACACAAGTTATTGTCTGCAAACTAGAAAAATGCTTGCTTTTAGGCCCCCTTTTGGCCCCAAGTTCCTAAACGTTTAGGGCAATTACCCCCAAACTCAAACCCAGCTTTCCCTTTGTGATATGGAACCTTGTAGTACAATTTCATAAAGATCCATACACTTACACACAAGTTATTGTCCTGAAACTAGAAAAATGCTTGTTTTTTGCCCCTTTTTGGCCCCTAATTCCTAAAATTTTGAGGCAATTACCCCCAAAATCAATCCCAGCCTTCCCTTTGTGGTATGGTACCTTGCAGTACAATTTCTGAGAGATCAATACACTTGAACACAAGTTATTGTCTGGAAACTAGAAAAATGCTTATTTTTGGCCCCTTATTCCTAAACATTTTGGGCACTTACCCCCAATCTCAATTCCAGCTTTCCCTTTGTGATATGGAACCTTGCAGTACAATTTCAGAAAGATCCATGCACTTACACACAAGTTATTATCATGAAACTAGAAAAATGCTTGTTTTTTGCCCCTTTTTGGCCCCTAATTCCTAAAATTTCGAGGCAATTTCCCCCAAAATCAATCCCAGCATTCCCTATGTGATATGGAACCTTGTGGTACAATGTCAGAGAGATCCATACACTAACACACAAGTTATGTCTGGAAGTTACAATAAAATGCTTCGCTGGGGCGCAGCTTGATACGACCGCAGAGGTCGAACCCTGAACAGTTGGGGCAAGTATGGACACAAAATTCAAGCTTGATACAGCTATGACTTTGGATTGTCATTAAATATTTGACACAGCATAGGTTTCTGACACAGGATGAATGTGGTGTAAGAACTGGAAAAAATTTAATTTACCTATTATGGTGGAATATCCATAAACTAAATTGTTTGTTAATTTCAATATATCAAAGAATATGTAGAATTCAATGTTTGATGTAATGTAATAAAGTTGAAATTTGGACCGTTTTTGTTCAATGTGGACCAATTTGGTAACATGTATAAATAATCAAAAACCTAAATACATGGGAGCCCATTTAAATACATCATAAAGGTATTAAAATAGAAAGTGACATCATAGTCATGGCTAAAAATAAACAAAAATCCTTAATCAGCAACATTTAAAGTAATATCTAAAAATAAAATTCCTTTGTAACCATAAAAGCCCATTTAAATACATCATAAAGATATTAAAATAGAAAATGACATCATAGTCATGGCTAAACATAGCAAAAAACCCTTAATCAGCATCATTTAACAGTAATATCTAAAAATGGAAATTACATCATAAAGGTATTAAAATAGAAAATGACATCATAGTCATGGCTAAAAATAAACAAAATCCTTAATCAGCATCAGCAACATTTTATAGTAATATCTAAAAATAAAATTCCTTTGTAACCATAAAAGCCCATTTAAATACATCATAACAGATATTAAAATAGAAAATGACATCATAGTCATGGCTAAACATAGCAAAAACCTTAATCAGCATCATTTAACAGTAATATCTAAAAATAAAAATTTCTTTGCAACCATAAAAGTAAAATAGAAAATGACATCATAATCATAGGTAAAAATAAACAAAATTTTTTTTTATTGGCAAATCTTAAATGGAGTTTATTATACTAAAACAATAAATTTGCAACCATAAACATGATAAAACCCCATTTAAACACATCATAAAAGTATTAAATAATTCAACTACATCATAAGGCTATAAAAATAGAAAATGACCTCATAGTCAAGGCTAAAGGTAAACAAAAAACCTTCATCAGCAAAATTTTATATTGGCAAATTTCCAATGAAGTTTATTACACTAAAATTGTTGGCAAATTTCCAATGCATTTATTAACAATAAAGTTATTGGCAAATTTCCAATTTACATAATTTAAAAGCAGTGTAGATGAGATATTTAAATGAGTTTGAATTACCAACCTTACACTTCTTTTAAATAATGTTCTTTACTCAATTATTTGTCTATTAAAATGGAAACCCTTGTTTTTTAACCTTTTTTCCCCTTATTCCTTAATATTTGGACCCTTATTCATAAATTTTTGAGCAATTAACCCCAAAACTCAATTCCTACTTTCTCTTCGTGATAAAAAATAACTAACTTAAAATGTAAATTTCAAACAAAAAAAAAAGGAAAAAAAAAAATTACCCCTTTTTTGACCCCCGCGCCCCTTATGATTCATCACCCCCACCCCCCTTTCCCCCCAAACCAAGCTCAATAACAGCCTTGCCTTTGTGGTATGGTACCTTGTAATACAATTTTAGAGAGATCCATACACTTGAACACAAGTTATTGTCTAGAAACTAAAAAATGCTTATTTTAAACCCCTTTTTAGGCCCCTTATTACTTAACGTTTTGGGCAATTACCACAACACTCAATTCCAGCTTTCCCTTTGTAAAATGGAACCTTGTAGTAAAATTTCAGAAAGATCCATACACTTACACACAAGTTATTGTCATGAAACTAGAAAAATGCTTGTTTTTTGCCCCCTTTTGGCCCCTTATTCCTAAAATTTTGAGGCAATTAACCCCAAAATCAATCCCAGCATTGACCCTTTGTGATATGGAATCTTGTGGTACAATGTCAAAGAGATCCATATGCTAACACACAAGTTATGTCTGGAAGTTACAAAAATGCTTATTTTCGGCCCCTTTTTGGCCCCTAATTCCTTAACTGTTGGTACCATAACCCCCAAAATCAATCCCCACCTTCCTATTGTGGTATTGAACCTTATGGTAAAATTTCATAGAGATCTATTCACTTAAACTAAAGTTAGAGTGCGAAAACCATTGTGTATTGGGACGACGACCCCGGTAGATCTTGTCTAACTATCATTTTTGCTATTTGCAGTTTTTCTTTATCCACTTAAGTTTTAATCAACAATGCAAAAATAGGTAAGTCATCATTTTAGGGCAATAACTCCTATAAACAGTTGACTGACAATTTCTGTAATCTTGACATATTGGTAGATCCTGCTGATCATTTTTGTATTTTAAAGTGTTTATTAGAGTTTTCATGATACATGTAAAAGGTAAAAATGCAAAAATTTAATCAAAATAGTCATTTAACACTTTCCTCCATGACACCTCCCCCTTTACTCAATAATAATACCTTTTGATGCCTCTACAATGTATGGTGTACCATGGATGAAAAGTTTTGCCCTCTTCTAATCAGTATCAGACTTTATAAAATGTGTATCCAATATTAAAAGGATATACTTGGGAATATCTGGCTTGAATTCCATTGACAAATTATTTGTTTTAATCATGCATTAATTCTTTAAATGTTATAATTTTTTTAAATAGCTGTCACCATACTAATTATTATCTACTGATCATGAATTTTCAATTTGTATGATACAGTTTGTGTAAAAAAGGATTTCATGGGGCGAACCAATGCCGTTGTGTTTACTTTTGGTAGAGCGAGCTCCAAATAAGAAATTTACAAATTGGGGTTTTTACTAACTGTTTTCTATGTAATTGAGTGAAATATATTTTTCATTTGCATTATTAATTCCAGTTCACCTCCAAGATGATCATCCACTGTTATCTTTATAAATAGATTTCTTTTAAGTATATATGTGAAAGCTGTTTTATTAGGTTTATACACTGATGATCAAGTTTCTTTTTAATTTGTGGAGTAGGTCCTTGCATGGTTTGAAGATTCATTCAGACAACTGTGGTCAACATTGCAGTCTCTATAATTTGCAGGCTTTGCAAAAGGCATGTGATATCCCCATCTTTGAATTTTTCAATCAGCCATGCTTTTCTTCTTAGACAGCATAACAATTTTGACAGTTGTGTTTTAAGGCTATTTTCACGATCATGATGGTGCAATCGGGACATTCTGACAAGGGGTCAATTATGTTGTTCACATCTTAATTGTGAAAGTTGGCAGGTAAGCTTTTATTTTTTGTGACTTTTTTTTCGTATTTCAATTTTACATGATTTTGGTGTGGGATCCCAAAATAATGGGGCAGAATAAAACTATGGATATGCATGAAAATGGTGT